CGTACTTCCCATACCCAAAACCCTCCATTTTCCCCCCGATTCTGCCCCTCGCTGCGGATTTACGCAGAAATTCAGCCCTGTAAATAAATACTCTTCTGTCCTTCAAAATAGCCCCAAAGCAAAACATTTCAGCCTGTTATTTAGCTCTTTAATAGCCTCTTCTTCTGTTTTTTTTCCCTTTAATATAATTTTAACTCTGTCCCAGGCTGGAAATAATTATATAGCGGGGAAAAGACATTTTTTTTCTCTTTTTTTTTCACTTAATAATTTTGGCGGCGGTGTTTTGCAGCTTTATAATTCACCTTCTACGCAGAGAAAGGAGGGGGGGGAATAAAAAAAAAAAAATCTCTGCTTGGTTATAAATAACAGAGGCCAAATAAATCGGGCTCCAAAGCAAACAGCAAGAGCCGCGGGATGGGGCTCCGTCCCGGCGGGTTCATGCGGGGACCCCGACGTGGAGCATCCCTCCCACAGAGGGGGGGGGGGGAGAAATTTAAAAGCCAAATTTGCTGCTGGAAATTGTTATTTTTGTCCTGGAGTTTAATTAATAGGAAGAGATTCAGGGTTATTTTGAGCGAGGTGAAATTCCTCGGGTGTTTTCGCCCGCTTTTTTGCACATTGCCAGGGTTTTCCTGGATATCCCGCTGCGCCCTGTTAGGGTTTTCTCCCCAGATTGGGAGAAAATAATGAAAAATAATTAAAAATAATTTTAAAAATGCATTTTTCCCCCCCCACTTTCGCAGGTGATCTTAGGCGGCGGGAGGAAATACATGTTCCCCAAAAATGCCAGCGATGTGGAGTATCCCCAGGAGGACAAGCATCGGGGCACCCGCCTGGACCGCAAGGACCTCGTCCAGGCGTGGCACGATGTCAAGCCCCCTGGCAAGGTGACAGGGACATTTTTGGGGGGTACACGGGTGTCACCCCACTGTAACCATGCGAAGCCATTCGGGGGGGGGGGGAGTGTTTTGGGGAGCGGGGTATAAAGCAGCCCTGGGGTTGGCAGAGGTGACGGGGAGGTGACAACCTGCCTGTCCCCCGTCCCCAGGTTGCCAAGTACGTGTGGCACCGGCAGGACCTGCTGGCGCTCAACCTCAGCCGCGTGGACTTCCTCCTGGGTGAGTCCCAGCACCCAGAGGGTGCCCCAGCCTCAACGGGGTGCTTTGGGGGGACCCCTGGCCCATCCCAGGGTGCTGGGGCAGTTGGAGTGGCCAGTTTGCCCCCTCTAAAGGATGCTGGTACCCCCGAGGGATGCTGGTACCCCCCCAGAGATGCTGCTACTCCCCTGGGGATGCTGGTACCCCTCCAAAGATGCTGGTACCCCTCCAAAAATGCTGGTACTCCCCTGGGGATGCTGGTACCCCTCCAAAGATGCTGGTACCCCTCCAAAGATGCTGGTACCCCTCCAAAGATGCTGGTACTCCTTGGGGATGCTGTTACCTCCAAGAAATGCTGGTACCCACCCTGGGGATGCTGCTGCTCCCCTCCAAGGATGCTGCTGCCTCCAAGGATGCTGCTACCCCTCTCTGGGGATGCAATTTCTGGTTTTGGCCCATGGTGTGATTCTCCAGCCCAGCCAGGCTGCAGGATTCGGCCGGGCTGGAGGAAGGAAGGGCTGGGAGCATCCCCTGGCTCCTATCTAATCACCCTGGATCCGGTGGCGAGTGAAATGCTTGAGGCAGCACAAGAAGCAGGCGGCGGTGCTGGATTTGGCCCCTTTTGTATATATTTTTTTTTTTGGTGGGAAAGGATGTCCCCAGCAGTGTCATTGTCCCCAGGCCTCTTCGAGCCAGGTGACATGGTGTACGAGCTGGACAGGAATAACGAGACGGATCCGTCCCTCACCGAGATGGTGGCTGTGGCCATCAAGATGCTCCAGAAAAATCCCCGGGGGTTTTTCCTCCTGGTTGAAGGTGTGGGGGGGGGCTATGGGGGTGCAAAGGGAGAAAGGGGGATGCCTGGGGGGAAAGGAGGGTGATGGGGGGTGGAAAAAGAGGGAGATAGATGGGGTGATTTGGGGTGCTAAAGGGGGTGATGGGGTGCAAAGGGGGGGATAAAGAGGGTGATGAGGGAATGAAAAAAGGGGGGGATAAGGGGAGTGGAGGGGGGCAAAGAGGGAAAGAGTAGGGTAGATGGGAAGGATGGAGGGGGTGATGGGGGGGCTGCAAAGAAGGGGGCAGGGGATGATGGGGGGCTGCAAAGAGGGGGGATAAAGGGGATGCAAAGCAGGAGGGATAAAGGGGGGTTGGGGGGGCATGCAAAGGGAGAGAAAGGGGGTTGCCAGGGGGCATTGGGGGACGCAAAGCAGGGAAGAGGAGGGCGATGGGGAAGGCCGAGGGGGGCTGGGGGCTGTCGGGGGCCGAGGGGGGGCGATGCCGAGCGGTACCGGGGGCCGCAGGGGGCCGCATCGACCACGGGCACCACGAGGGGAAGGCGAAGCAGGCGCTGCACGAGGCGGTGGAGCTGGACCGGGCCATCGGGCTGGCCACCCGCCTCACCTCGGCCCAGGACACCCTCAGCGTCGTCACCGCCGACCACTCGCACGTCTTCACCTTCGGCGGCTACACCCCCCGCGGGAACCCCATTTTCGGTGAGTCCCTGCCGGGGGGGGGGGACACGGGACACGACGACACGTGGCACAGCCTTGGGGACACCCCAGGGACGTCCCCGTCCTGCTGACGGTGCCGCCGCTGCCAGGTCTGGCCCCGATGCAGAGCGACGTGGACCGCAAACCCTTCACCTCCATCCTCTACGGCAATGGCCCCGGCTATAAAATCGTGGCGGGCGAGCGAGAAAATGTCTCCGCTGTGGATTTTGGTGAGTGTATTTCGGGGAAAACCCCCCCTTAAATTATTACAGCCTGGCTAAAATTAAAAATGATTCGTAATTTGGGATTATTTTTTTTTTTTTTTTCCCCCTCAGCACACGCCAACTACCAGGCGCAATCGGCCGTGCCGCTGCGCCAGGAGACCCACGGCGGCGAGGACGTGGCCGTTTTCGCCCGCGGGCCCATGGCCCACCTCCTCCACGGGGTCCACGAGCAAAATTACATCCCCCACGCCATGGCTTACGCCGCCTGCATCGGCTCCAACCGAGCCCACTGCAACGCTGCCGTCCGCCCCGCCGCCACCATCCTCCTGCCCTTCCTCACCCTCCTCGTCCTCCTCTGCTAAAGAGCCTCTTGCAAACCATGGAGGGGGATTTATTTTTAATTCCTCCCCTTTTTTTTTTTATATTTTTTTTTTTTTTAATTTTGTGGATAGCAGCGCCCAGAAAGAGGAGAGAAAAAGAAAGACTCAGCGGAGTAAAAGCAGCCGCCGGCGGTTTCGTGCTGGGAGCTGCCTCTGTAAATACACGGTTCCTTCCCCTATAATTAGCGTCATTGCCTGCCCCATCCCGAACCCACCGCGGGATTTGGGATGGGAGCCGGAGCCTCAGTGGATTAAACCCCCTCTTTGAGCGAGACGCGATGGGACTGGGTCCCAAAATGCCTCCCGGTCCCTTGACTGAGGACTGACCCCGGTGTCCAACTCATCACATATGTGGGTACCCACAAACCACATGAAGATGGGAAAAAAAAAAAAATTAACTCACCGGGTTAATTTGTCCCCAAAACTTTTTTTTTTTTTTTTTTCCTGCCTCCTGAGTGACTTATTTTGCTTTAAAGGCCTTCAGTTTAAGGCAACTTGCTGCCCGAGGAGGGATTCAGGGTGGTTTGGGGACTGGGAATTGCAGGGATTTAGGGCATGGCACTCGCTGGGGTGCCTTTGGTAGGGCTGGGTAATTAGGGAGGGTGATTAGGGGAGAGGGGCTTTGCAAGGTGCCTGGGTAGGGGGGAGTTGAGGCCTGCGGTAGCACGGGAGAGGGGGCCTGGGTGTGCAAATGCTGCTCCGACCGTGTAAACAGGACTGTGCACAGGCACATACATAGTGCCTTGGGCGTGCAAATGTCACTGTGCGTGTGCAAATGTCACTGTGCGTGTGCAAATGTCACTGTGCATGTGCAAATGCCGCCCTGGCTGCGCAAGTGTCACCTTGTGCACGTGCACGTCACTGTGCACGTGCAAACGGTGCCTCGCACGTGCAAATCCCGACGCAGCCCCGGCTCAGCAGACGCTGCCCTGCGCGTGCAAACGCCGCCGCGGGCGTGCAGAAGCCGCTGCGCACGTGCACGCCGCTCCTTTGCACGTGCAAACCAGCACCCTGCAAACCAGCACCCTGCACGCGCGGAAAGCGCCGCGCACGCCCAAGTGCCTCTCCGGCGGCGCCAACGGTGCCAACGCCACTTTGTCTGTGCAAATTCTGTGCACGAGCAGCCCCTCGTGCGCCCCAGGTGCGTTGTGCAACACACCCGCCCCCCCCCCCCCCGAGCTGAGCACCCCCCAAAATCCCAGTGGGCCCTTCCAATCCTCCCCTTTTTTATTTATTTACCAGCTTTATAAATAAATCTCCGCTCCGGTTTTTTTATTAACCGGCAAACTTTGGAGCGGGCGAAGGCGATGACCCGGGTGGTGCTGGATTTTTTGGGGGGGGGGTGAGGGGGGGGGCTCTGACACCCTTACTTTGCCTGGCGCCCTTTGCACCCGCACGGGCATCGCCGGTGTCCCCGACCACGACCCAGTCCCTGGCGCTGGGGCTTCCCAGAAACCAGGCGGCACCAAGCTATGTTTAACCGGTCCCGGGGTGCTTCGTGGTTTTTGGGGGTTCGGGGGGGGGGTTGAGGGGGGGAACTGCTTTTTCTTGGCTGGGGATTTGGCGCAAAGCCGGCGCCCACGGGGGCTGCCGGCCAAGTGCCGCTCCCGACGCCGGGTTGGCTGCTGGAGCTGAAAAAAGAGTTTTGTTTTGTTGGTTTTTTTTTTTGGGGGGGGTGGGTAAGGGGGGTGTGAGGGCAGTGCCTGCCAAATTTTGGGGTACCTGCAGCATGCCAAAACCAGAGAAAAAAAAAAAAATCAAAGAAAAGCTTTGCTGAGCCTGGCTGCTGTGAAAGCCTCAAAATTTTGGTGACACCCCCCCCCCTCAAAGTGGGTGAATTTGGGGTGTTTTTAAGATCGTGCCCCACCGATTTTGGGGACCCCACTTCAGATCTTGGGGACACATCCCCCACACACACTTCCCCAGCACTCCCAGCTGTAGCGATAAATAAACCTTTATTTTATACAGGACCTCACAGGGAACACAAACACGATTTGGGGGGGCTTGAAAAAATAATCCATCCCCCCATACCCCCCCCTCCCCAATTCCAGCATCTGACCCATTCCAAAACTTTTTTTCCCTTAAAATAAAAGGGGGGAAACAGGGGGACCCCCCACTTTGGGTTTGCCCCGGATTTGAGCCCCACTTTTTTTTTTTAGGGAGGGGGTGATGCTTGGGTTGGACTCGCTCTTTGTCTTGTGAGAGCTCCCCCCTGTGTGATATTGGGGTCACAGTGGGGGGGGGGGGGCCTTTGTGGTCCATCACCCCCCCAGGGGGTATTTGGGGTGACGGAGATTGTCTGGGGGGGGAGGTTCCCCCCAAATCCTGCACCGGGGACGATGGCTTCAGCTCCTGGCACGGGGGTGGCACACGGGGCAGGGGGGGCGAAGCGGTGACCCCCCCCCGGGGTTGGAGGTGACTATGAGCCCTGTGTGGAGGAACATCAATGGGTGCACCCCAATATGGGTGCCCCTATATTGGGGTACGCCGGGGACACACACACACACAGAGTCTCACCGGATTGGGGGGGGGCCGCTCCAGTTGGATTTTGATCTCGGGGCAGGGGGGGTCAGGGGGCCGGCGGCCTGTGGGGAAGGGGGGGGCTATGAGCACCCCAGGGGGTCCCCCAGCCCCACGGCGGCCTGACGCCCCGGTGATGGGCTACCTGGGGGGATACCGGGGGGGTCATCTGGCCAGGGGGTGTCAGTGAAGGCGTCACGGTGGGTCCCCGAGGGTGAGCGGCTCTCCTAAGGGTGCAAGGTGGGGGGGGGGGGATGTCAAAGGGGTGCTGCCCCCCCCCCCCCACCCCCCACCCCCCAGCCTCCCCCCTCCCCCCGGCACCCCGGTACCCTGCCCGGCTCGCTGGGCTCCTCGCTGGCGCTGCCGAAGCTGCTGGTGCTGGAAGAGGAGCGGGAGAAATCCGGCGGCTCCGGCTTCTCGGCCCTGCCGAGGGTCAGTCCCCAGCGCCGGGGACGGGCTGGCACCGCGCCGTGCGGCCGCCCCCACGGCCCCCACGGCCCCCACGGCCCGCCGCGACGCTGCGCTGTCCCCAGGACACCCCGTCCCCAGGACACCCCGTCCCCACACCATCCCACCCCTTTGATGTCCCAGTCCCACGTCCCTTGTCACACCGGCCAGTCCCCATGCCACCCCCCCACCCCCCCCCCCCCCCCAGTGCCTCCCCCTGCCACCTTGTCCCTGTGCCACCAGGTTCCTGGGTGACCCTGTCCCCACGTTGCCCTGTGCCAATAGTCCTGGTGCCACCTGGTCCCGGTGTCATCCCATCCCGGTGCCACCCTGTCCACGCGCTGCCCCATCCCAGTGTCACCCTGTCCCAGTGCCACCCCACCCGTGTGCTGCTCCATCCCAGCGCCCTCCACTCCCCATGTCACCCCATCCTGGTGCCACTCCGTACTGGTGCCACCCTGGCCCACTGCATCCCTGTGCTACCCCATCCCAGTGCCCCCCAGTCCCTGTGTCACCCCAATGTCATCCTGTCCCCTCACCACCCCATCCTGGTGCCACCTTGTCCCCTTGCCACCCCATCCCAGTTCTCTCCAGTCCCCATGTCACCCCATCCCAGTGCTACCCTGGCCCACTGCAACCCTGTGACATCCCAGTGCCACCCTGTCCTTGTGTTGCCCCATCCCAGTGCCCCCCAGTCCCCTCATCACCCCAATATTCCCCACCCCAGTGTCCCCCAGTCCCCGCGTCACCCCAATATTCCCCACTGCAGTGTCCCCCTGTCCTTGTGCTGCCCCATCCCAGTGCCCCCCAATCCCCATGTCACCCCAATATTCCCCATCCCAGTGTCCCCCCGTCACCCCGATATTGCCCATCCGCGTGCCCCCGTCCTTGTGCTGCCCCACCCCAGTGCCCCCCAGACCCTGCATCACCCCAATATTCCCCACCCCAGTGCCCCCCAGTCCCCGCATCACCCCAATATTCCCCACCCCAGTGCCCCCCAGTCCCCGCGTCACCCCAATATTCCCCACTGCAGTGTCCCCCTGTCCTTGTGCTGCCCCCAGTGCCCCCCAATCCCCATGTCACCCCGATATTCCCCATCCCAGTGTCCCCCTGTCACCCCGATATTGCCCATCCGCGTGCCCCCGTCCTTGTGCTGCCCCATCCCAGTGCCCCCCAGACCCTGCATCACCCCAATATTCCCCACCCCAGTGCCCCCCAGTCCCCGCGTCACCCCAATATTCCCCACCCCAGTGCCCCCCAGTCCCCGCATCACCCCAATATTCCCCACCCCAGTGCCCCCCAGTCCCCGCATCACCCCAATATTCCCCACCCCAGTGCCCCCCAGACCCTGCATCACCCCAATATTCCCCACCCCAGTGTCCCCCAGTCCCCGTGTCACCCCGATATTCCCCATCCCAGTGTCCCCCAGTCCCCGCGTCACCCCAATATTCCCCACCCCAGTGCCCCCCAGACCCTGCATCACCCCAATATTCCCCACCCCAGTGTCCCCCAGTCCCCGCGTCACCCCAATATTCCCCACCCCAGTGCCCCCCAGTCCCCGCATCACCCCAATATTCCCCACCCCAGTGTCCCCCCGTCCTTGTGCTGCCCCATCCCAGTGCCCCCCAGTCCCCGTGTCACCCTGTCCCGGTGCCGGGACCTGTCGGGGTGCCGGTGGCTCTCGGGGGAGCTGTTTGCGGAGCAGGCGCCCTCGGGGGCGGCGGGGGCGGCGGCGGGGCCGTCCCTGTGGGGAGGCGGCGGGCGGTGAGGTGGCCCCGGGAGGGGCCGGCCCCGCGTTCCGGTACCGGCGCTCACCTGCCGGCCGGCGCCTCCTGGATGCTCTCGATCCCGATGGCGCTGGAGCGGCGGGAGCCGAGTGGGCCGGGCCGCCGCCGCGACGGGCTCTTCCCGGGCACCAGCAGCGCCTGCGGGTCGCCGTTAACCGGACACCGGGGGGGAACACCGCGGAGGAGTGTGGGGGGGGAACACACCGGAGAGGGGGGGACACACCGGCGGGGGGGCGGGGGGAGGTTCCGTGCCGGGGGTACCCACCTCTTCCACCGAGCCCAGCCCGATGGCGCTGCCGCGGCGTCCCCGCCGGCTCCCGGGCACCAGCAGCGACTGGGGGCGGCACCGCGTCACCGGCCCCGGGGGGCACCGGGGCACCGGGAGGGGCGGGGCTAGCGCGGAGGGGCGGGGCGGGGAGTATGAGTGGGCGGGGGTTGGGCAGCGGGGGGTGTGGCTTGTGGGGTAGAGGGGGCGGGACCAGGGCGCTTCAGGGGTGTGGTTTGTCCCGCGTAGGGGGCGTGGCCTCGCCGAGAGGGCGTGGTCTCACCCAGGCGCCCGCTGTCAGGCCGGGGCGGGGGGCGTGGCCAGCGCGGAGGGGGCGTGTCCAGGGGCGGGGCACTCACGCAGGCGGCCCCCGGGGCTCCGGCGGCGGCGCTGGGGGGGGGCACCGGGGGGGGGGCCCGGCGGGGTCCCAGCCCCACGGCCCACAGCGACGGGCTGCGGCCCCGCAGCGCCCGCTGCAGGGCCCCCCCCGCCCCGCCAGCAGCGCCCGGTGCCGCCGGGCACCCCCGCCCCGATGTTTGTGGGTTTTTTGTTTTTTTTTTTTTTTTTTTTTTCTTTTTGGGGTGTAAGGGATTGGAGGGGGGGTCGGAACCCCCCCCCCCGGGCCCCACCTTGAAGGACTCGAAGAAGCCCGGAGCGGCGGCGCCGTTGTCGGGGCGCTCGTCGTCGGGGCCCAGCCCCAGCATGGCCTGGCTGCGCGCCTGCAGCTCTTCGTGCAGCGTCTCCAGCAGCGCCGCCCGCGTCCGCTCCTGCGCGCCCCGCACCGCTGCACCGCCCCACGCGCGACCGCCCCACGCGCGACACAACCCCCCCCACCCCCCCCGCTGGGGACCCGCAACACCCGCCCCCCCGCCCCCGCTCCCACACACCCACCGCCCACGTGGTGTTGTGCCCCCCCCCCCCCCCCCCCCCCCCCCACGGCGCCCACGTGCACGGCACCCAGGGCAGGCATGGCACCCACTGCAGACACGGGCCCCACAGCATTGCACAGCACCCACACCCACAGCACCCACGTTGTGCCCAGTACCCACAGGCCCCACAGCAGGCACAACCCTCTTGCAGGCACAGCACCCACGGCGTGTCCAGCACCCACGGGCCCCACAGCATGCACAGCACCCACACCCACAGCACCCATGTTTTGCCCAGCACCCATGGGCCCCACAGCACCCACAGCCCCACAGCACCCACGTTTTGCCCAGCACCCACGGGCCCCACAGCACCCACAGCCCCGTTGCAGGCACAGCACCCACACCCACAGCACCCACGTTTTGCCCAGCACCCACGGGCCCCACAGCACCCACAGCCCCGTTGCAGGCACAGCACCCACACCCACAGCACCCATGTTTTGCCCAGCACCCACGGGCCCCACAGCACCCACAGCCCCGTTGCAGGCACAGCACCCACACCCACAGCACCCACGTTTTGCCCAGCACCCACGGGTGCCATGGCAGGCACAACCCTCTTGCAGGCACAGCACCCACACCCACAGCACCCAGAGTCCCCTTGCAGGCACAGCACCCACACCCACGGCATGCCCAGTCCCCTTGCAGGTGCAGGCTCCCCCCCCCCCCCGCAGATGCCCAGCACCCTCAGCACCCCCCGCGCTCAGCACCCAGCACCCACATTTGCACCCACCTCCAGCTTGGCGAACTTCTCAGCCTTGTAGCAGGCGTACTCGGCGTTGATGAGCTTCGTCAGCAGAAACTCCTGGAACTCGGGGCCCTGCGGGGGGGCGAAGGGCGGCCCCTGGGTGGGTGCCGCCCACAGACCCCCCCCTCCTCTAGGCAGCACCCACGGGCGCTCACCTTCCTGAAGACAGCAGGGTCGGGCAGCGGCGGGCCGAAGAAGGGCACGTCATCACGGGCGGTGACAGAGACCTGCAGCAGGTGGGAGAGGTGACGGGGCACCCCGGGTGCCCCCAGCACCCCAGGGCGATGGGGAAACCGAGGCCCCGGGGTGGCACCTTGTAGAGGGTCCCCTGGGAGCTGCCCTGCTCCAGCTGCACCACCACGAAGGCGTGCAGGAAGTTGGAGGCGATCATGTCGGGGACGAAGGGGGTGTTCTCGTCCTGGAAGACGATGGCCACGATGTCGTTGCCGATGTGACGCTTCCGCTGCAGCTGCGGGGACGTTGGGGGGGGGGGGGACACACATGGGGGACACGGGGGGGGTGGTGACACCAAAGGGCGCAAAAGGACACGGCAGCCCCCATGCCCCATAGGCGCCCCCCAGCACCCAGGAGCGGCCCTGGAGACTTTGCAGCCTGTAGACAACCCCCACCCAGCACCCAAGGGCGCTCTGCCAACCCCCTGCACCCCATAGATGCCCCCCCAGCACCCATGGGTGCTCCAGGAGCTTTTGCATCCCACAGATACTCTCCCAGCACCCATGGGTGCTCCAGGAGCCCCTGCATCCCATAGATACTCTCCCAGCACCCATGGGTGCTCCAGGAGCCCCTGCATCCTATAGATGCCCCCCCCAGCACCTATGGGTGCTCCAGGAGCTTTTGCATCCCATAGATACTCCCACAGCACCCATGGGTGCTCCTAGAGCTTTGCATCCTACAGATGCCCCCCCCAGCACCCACAAGTGCTCCTGGTGCTTTTGCATCCTATAGATACTCCCCTAGCACCCATGGGTGCTCCAGGAGCTTTTGCATCTCATAGATACTCTCCCAGCACCCATGGGTGCTCCAGGAGCCCCTGCATCCCATAGATACTCCCACAGCACCCATGGGTGCTCCAGGAGCCCCTGCATCCCATAGATACTCCCACAGCACCCATGGGTGCTCCAGGAGCCCCTGCATCCCATCGATACTCTCCCAGCACCCATGGGTGCTCCTAGAGCTTTGCATCCTATAGATGCCCCCCCAGCACCCACAAGTACTCCTGGTGCTTTTGCATCCTATAGATACTCCCCCCAGCACCCATGGGTGCTCCAGGAGCCCCTGCACCCTATAGACACCCTCCAGCACCCACGGGGTGTACTACTAGCCCTTATGTCCTGCAGATCCTCATCAGCACCCATGGGTGCCTCTGGAGTTTTTGCACCCTATAAACACCTCCCCAACACCCACGGGTGCTCCAGGAGCCCCTGAACCCCACGGACACACCCAAAGCACCCACAGGTGCCCCTACACCCCCACTGCCCCCAAGCACTCCTGCGTTCCCCCCAAAACCCTTCCCCCCCACACCTTCTTGCACCCCCCGCCCCCAGCACCCATGGGTGCCCCACCTGCTGGGCGTCCCCCTCGGTGTAGGGCAGCTTGGTGGAGACGTGGAACATGATCTCCTTGTCGCGGAAGTGGCAGTAAACCGACTCGCTGCCCGTCTGCCCGTGGGTCACGTCCAGCCCCCCCCGAAACCTGGGTGGGTGAGGGCGACAGGCACCCTGAACCTGGGGTCCGTGGGTGCCCCCCCACCCAGCACCCCATCACGTACCCCTTGAAGTCCCGCAGCTGCACCCGTTGGCCCAGGACGTCGAGGAATTCGGCGAACGCCGGGCTCTCCTCCGTGGTGCCAAAAAGCTCCTCCTCGGAGGTCTGCAGTGGGGTGGGGATGGGTGCCAGCACCCACCCGGGACCCCCCCACCCTAACCCCCACCCCACCCCACCCCATACCTGCCCCAGTTTTTGGTAGATGACCCCAAATTTGAAGTGGTTGCTGAGCACGTGCTCGTCGAAGGTGAGGATGAGGCGGGACGCCTGCGGGGTCGGGAGGGGGGCTGGAGGTTGGGTGGGGGCACCCCAGGGCACCCATGGGTGCTCATGCCCCTCTCCCCCCCCCTCCCCCCCGCACCCTGTTCACCTTGGGGTAGAGCACGGGGTAGAAGCGATCCACGTTGACATCCTCACACACCAGCTGCGGGAAGGACGGGTGATGCGATGGGTGACCCGGGGTGGGGGGCACCCATGGGTGCTGCCGGAGGTGTTGCACCCACCTTGGCCATCTGCACCACGTTGGGGAACTCAGCCAGGCAGGAGATGGGCACCACGTCGTGTAGGGTGCGGGTGCGGGTGCTGCAGGGCGAGGCAGGGGTCGGGGAGGGGGCCCTCTACCCCCAGCCAGCACCCATGGGTGCCCCCGGGCACCCTGCTCACCGCAGCAGCAGGTGGAGGTGCTCCTGCTCGTCGTACTTGAGGGAGAAGACGAGGTGACCCAGCGCCGGGTCCAGGGAGTAGTAGTTGAAGTGCTCCTGCGGGGAGGGGGCCGAGCACCCACGCCCAGGCCAACGGGTGCTCACGCTGGCACCCATGCCACGGAGCGCCCATGCGCACGCACACCGATATCCACGAGCACCCGTGTCCATGGGCCACCCATCCGACAGACACTCGTAGGTTCCCCGTGCCCCATGGGCACCCATGTCTACAAGCACCCCTGCCATGGGGCATCCGGATCCCTGAGCACCCATCCCCATGGGGCACCCGTGTCCCTGAGCACCCACGCCACCACCTACGGAGCGCCTACACTCATGGGCTCCCACGCAACGAGCCACCCCTACCCATGAGCACCCATGTCATGGGGCACCCAGGTTCCTGAGCACCCACACCCATGGGCTCCCATAGTTACGGAGCCCCCATGCCCATGGGGCACCCCTGTCCCTGAGCACCCACGCCAGAGGACACCCGGGTCCATGAGCACCCATACGGCTCCCGTGCCCGTAGATACCCACACCCACATCCATGAGCACCCACGCCGTGGGGGCACCCGTGCCCATATGGACGAGCACCCACGTTTCCGAGGTCTCCACGCCCGTGACCGCTGAGGAACCCACCCACCCCAAGCACCCACTCCTGGAGCACCCACGGGGCCTCACCTTGCCCAAGAAGTGCTTGCGGTAGATCTTGGCCGTGTGGTTGCCCTCGAGCCGGGCCCGGGTGCTGGGTGCTGGGGTCGGGGGGGACTCGGGTGCCCCGCTCAGCTGGTGGTTGGTGCCCTCGATCCAGTAACCCCCAAACTGCGGCAGGAGGATGAGGGGGAACGGCCCCTCCCGGCCCAGCACCTGCACCCACAACCGAGGTGGGTGCTCTGGCCACCCACCCGTCAACCCCCCCCCCATCGCCCCCCAGCCGCTCGCCTGCCCTCGCACCCATCTCTGGAGGGGAGCGGGTGCTCTACCTCGTGCACACTGGGGTAGGGGATGTAGTCCTCCTCCGTCTGCAAGACAACGGGGTGGGGGGGAGGCCGTGCTGGGTGCACCCATGGGTGCTGGTTGGGTGCCCGCCCCACCCCCCCAGCGACGCCTACCTTGAGCGGCGGGGGGACGGCGTGACGCTGCTGGGCCATCCTGCTGCCCTGCGGGAGATGGGGGCTGTGGGGTACCCGTCACCCCGCCTTGGGGTGGGCACCCTTGAGTGGGGAGCACCCGTGGGGAGCTTACCTCGGGGTGGGGGGACCGAGGGGGGTGGTGGTGCCGGCTGGGGATGTGTCTAGGTGGCGTGGGGGGGCCCAGGGGGTTCCATGGCGCTTCCTGGGGGGTGAGGAGAGCTCCCCCGCAGCCCCTCGCCGTGCCGCCCGGCTGCTCGGCCAGTGGCGTTACCCCTGAAGCCTACTGATGGCAGCGAGCCAAGCGCCACCTCGCTGCCTGCCGGGAGCCAGCGGGCCGGGAGCGGCGGGGGTCAGCTCACTCCATGGGGGGGGGGGGCGGTGCCTGGCTGCTGAGACCCCCCAAACTCATCGCACCCCCACCCTCCCAGCCCCGCCCCCCCCCCCCCCCCGAAGGGCGCCCTCTGCCGGCGGGAGGCGGCGCCGCGCGGGGCAGCACCACGGACAGCGCCGGGGCCGCGGAGACAAACGGTGCAAAACCCGGCGCCGGTGTGAACAAACCCGGCCCCGGTGTGAACAAACCCGGCCCCGGTGTGAACAAACCCGGCGCCGGTGCGAATGGGTCCCACCCCCGCGCGACCCTCGTGCAAACGCGAACGCTCGTGCAAACGCCGCCCCCCCCCCCCCCCCAACATCCCCGTGCAAACACGACGGTCCCTGGTGCAAAAGGGACCCTCGTGCAAACGTGGCCGGTCTCTGCATAAACACCACCCTGGTGCAAACACCACCCTGGTGCAAACGAGCCCTGGCCCTGTGCAAACGCGACCGTGGTGCAAACACGACTGCATGCAAGCACGCCCCTGGTGCAAGCGTGACCCACGCCTGTGCACGCGTGACCCTGCCGCAAGCACGACCCCGCTGCAAACGTGACCCTGGTGCAAAGGTGACCCATCCCTGTGCGGGCACAACCCTCGTGCAAGCGCGACCGGTCCCCGTGCAAACATGACCCGCGTGCAAACGCGCCCTGGGTGCAAATGTGACAGTGTCACCTGTCCCCGTGCAAACGTGACCCGTCCCTGCGCACCCGTGGGCTGCAGCGTGACCCCCGCCGGGCACGGGGGGGCTGTGTGGGGGCCGGGGGGGCTCCCCCACCGCTGCCCTCCCCCCAGCACTCAAGGTGGGGGCAGTCCCGGGGGGGGGGGGGGGGGCCGTGACACGAATGTGGGGCCAGATTGGGGTTGGGGGGGGCCATGAGGGGCAGATTGAGGGGGACTGGGCTGGGGGAGGAGCAGGTGATGGGGCCAGGATGAGGGGGTGCGGAAGGGGGGGGGGGGATGATTTTTGGGCTAGCCGGGGGGGGGGGGGGGCAGGTTTGAGGGGGGCAGGTTGAGGGGGGGGGTGATTAATGTGGGAGATATGGGGGGGGGGCAGGTAATTCATGGGGTAGATATATTGGGGAGGGGCAGGTTGGGGGGGGGAGGTTCATGGGGGGGCTGATCCCCATCCCCCCCCCTCTTCCCTCCCGGGTCCCCCGCCACCCCCGCGCTGCCGGTACCGGCAACGGCTGAAGGTCACCGGGGGACGGTGCTGCGCCCGGGGGGGGGGGGGGGGGGCAACACAGCCCGGGGTGGGGGGGGGGGAACCCCGTTTGCCGGTGTCCGCGGCGCGGCACTTACCGGAGGGGCGGCGGGGCCGGGCCCGGGGCCGGTACCGGAGCGGAGCGGGGCCCCCGCCGCTCGCAGCCACGGCGCCGCGTCACGTGCGGCGGGGCGGGGCGGCCCCAACGGGGGCGGCCGGTACCGGCCCCGGAACCGGGGGGGGGGGGGGGGGGGGGGGGAAAAAAAAAAGCCGCCGGGAAAAACCCCTCTCGGAACCGGCAACGGGGATCCCGCCCGGGGAACTCACAGCCCCCCCCCCCCCGCGCTGTCCCGGGTGTCCCGCCCCCTGGGTCCCCACCCCCGGGGTAGCCCCCCAATCCCCCCCCAATCCAGCACCCGCACCCCACCCTGGCACCCAGCATCCCCCCCCCCAAGCCCTCCTCCACCCACCACCAGCACCCATCTCCCCCCCCTTGCACCCCAAAGGCCCATTTTGGTGACAAAGGGGGGACACCCCATCTCTGGGGCCCTTGAGAAAAGTCTGCCACAGGCTCCCTGGGCGGAAAGGGGGGGGGGGGGGGGGGCTGGCACCCAGCCCCCCCGCGGCGCATCCCGAGGGCTCCCCCCTGCTCCCATCCCCACCCCCCAGCCCCGTTTTGGGAGGGGGATTTGCCACAGACCAACCCCCCCCCCCCCCCCAGCCTTTAGGCGAGGTGTTTAAAATACCAGACAGGGGGCATGTGTATGCACTTTAATAAGGCTTCCACAGCTCAAATGACAATTTTAATCCAATAATGTTTGCAAATAACAGACAAAACGGTAACTGGGCCTTTGATCACATCTTGTACCTGCGTGTCCCCCCCCGCGAGGCACGGCGATGCGGCCGCACAGCTTGGGAACACCGCCACGGCCCCGGCTACTTCCTTCCCCACTGAGTTTAAAGACTTTAAATTTGCAACAGTATAAGCTCAAGGAAGAGATTTTTTTTGTAACATTAAAAAAAAAAAAAAACTAACAGCAACTTGAAAAAAAAAAAAAAAAAAATTTCCAGGAAATATGTACACAAGCGAGTGCTTCAGTCTCGGAAGAAGAAGAAAACCTCCTGCCCACTCCCGAAGGATGGAGCAGCTTTGGCGCACCAAATTCCTGCCGACGTCTTTACCTTGGGAAAGAATATGCGGGTCCAAATTGTCCCCCAAAAACCACCTTTCAGGAGCTCCATGTCCCCCCCCCAGCCCAGGCTGCTTCGCCCCAAAACCCAGCAGGGAGGCAGAGGAGGATGCGGAGCCCCTGCGCTCGGCCAGCGGCAGCTGCAATTCTTCGGGTAAAACGTAACACCAGTTCAGCTGTGGGGTGGGATGTGTGTGTGTCCCCCACTCCTGCAATCCTTTTGAAAACAAAACTGACGTGGCAGCAACTGGACTCTTTGCATCAACATTTTGCCACGGAAACAAGTTAAAAGGCTGAAAAAGGAAACATCTAACTTTATTACGGAGCGACCTGGACAGCGCCCTTTTAGAAAAGTCTGGAAGTGGCACGCTCGTTCCTGCTGCTAATAGGCAACGGGGAGAGATCTTTTCTGGGAGCTACAGATTTAAAAAAACAATTAATAATTATTAGTGCATTCCTATGCACTAATAAAAAATGAGAATAGAGAGGGGAAAAAAAAAAAACCAAACCTCTTCCCATGGGAAACACGCCACCCACCCGCACCCCCTTCAGCACCTCCAGCTCGGGCTCCCCCCAGGCCGTGGGTACCAGCGCAGTCCTGGACCAGAGGAAAAGATGTTATCAAAAGTCGTTAAAATACCCCACGTTTCTAAAAAAAACACAGTTCACGGAGAAAAGACCAGGTGGTTATTGAAAGATCATCAAACGTCTGGAGGTGAAGGCGAGCGGCTGAAAAGCCAGCGGGGGCGGCTCCCCGGCCCCTCGGCGCTGGAAGGCGTTCGGAGGCAGACCACAGCTTACAGTTTGGGTTAAATAGATGAAGTGTGGCTTTTTTTTTTTTTTGTGTTTTTTTTTTTTTTTTCCTTGGAAAGAGCTAGACATTCCTCACAAGTAACAATTTCTTTACTTCCATGCTGTACTGAAAGAGTAATAGTGGATCAAAGACAGGATTATCTGTAAGCAGGTTACACCTAAACAGATACTCAGAACAGATCAAGACGTGTTTGATCTCCTGGATTACAACCCCTGGCCGGGCAGAGGAGCGCGGTGCGGGCGCGGAGTCAGGGGACACACGGGAATGCCTCCCTCTCCCTCGCCTGTAAACACGATACGCTCTTACTGCTGCTAAACTTCCCAACCTTCCTGTCGCTTTATTAAATATAAAATCGGGAGCGCTCTCTTGAAGGCAGGATGTCCTTCAGTGCAATCTGCTTTGACATAAGGCATTTGGGGGGGGGGGGGGGGGCGGGGGCAGGCATTTCAGAATGGGTTTCTGCCTTCTGGAAGAGTCAAAGAGTTCAGTCCTGTATCCACTTTTTTTTTTTTTTTCTTTTAATGCCCTACCATGTCAAAATCCTCTTCCCTTCTAGTCGCTCCTCTGTTGCCAGCGTTTAGAAAAACCATCAGTGTCCAAGTAAACCAGTCCCTGAGGAGAAAAGACAGCCACCAAAAGATGATGACACTTACGGGATGGAGATGAAGTTAGTGTGCGCTTACATGAAGGCGGGGGAAAAACACCCAGACTCACCTTTAAATCCTTCTTCAGGCATACAAACTGGGGATGGAAAGAAACAGAAATGGCATTAGAAGCCTCCTGACAGTCGTTTCTAAAAGGATCTTTGGTCTGAGTGGCGGCGTACCACCGAACCTCCCGTCAACAGTGACAGGAAAGCTTCCACGTCTGTTTTCTACCCCTACAACCCAAATCCAGCACAACCCTTGGCCACCGATGCCTGCCCCAAAACCACAGTGGTGGTGGAGGCGCCTTTGCCCCGAGCCCCCAAAACCTTCCAGGTGCCCCCCTCCCCTCACCTTGCATAACGTCGTCCATCGCCGCGTAATCTGCAAGTGGTTCATCAGCCTGGAAAAATAGAATAGGAAAAATAGGAAAATAAGGAGGAGCAGGGGATGAAGGGGCAAGTGAGCTCGCGTGGAAGCTCACAGCCCCATCAGTTCACGGCGCTGCTCTGGAGGGGAGCAGGGAACAGGTCTCTTGCCCAAACACCACCTGGGAACAAGAGGGGAGGACTCGCTCCCCAGTTTAGCTGTACTGCGGGCTGCTACGCACACAGCTCAGCAGCAAAGGCCGGCTAATAAATGCTCTTTAAAAGGAGAAAAAGGAATTTCCTCCTCCAAGAGGAACTCATTAAATTATGCTACTGAGCAGCCATGGTGGGGGGCATGCCTTCTGCACGGCAGCCTTCGCACACCCCACAACGTGTTTCTCTTTGGTTGTACAGAAACCACTTAAATTCTCGGCTTTATCTGGGCAGCCACACTCTCGCGTTACCTTTAATAAAATGACGGACTCGGGGATGACTCCCAGGCTGCCCAGCGTTGCGGTGTCATCGCTCAGGATCTTTCCGTCAATCGACAAATTCTGGTCGAAGGGAGCAACTGAAAATGCATGCATGATCTGTGCCAACACAATGAGACACGCTGGTTTTGTGCGGAGGAAAAACATACCGCCGAGCTACACAAAAACACCCTGTTCAGAAGAGCAACGCACGCGTTTCGATGCCACGCGCGGCTTTTATACTCTTCCCCTCCATCCCCTCCCAGCCACGTGCTCCTAATTTTGTCTTTTCTTACTTGAGGCAATTGATTCCTTGGAGGAAAAACACCTTACCTGTATCTTCAGCTCTTTCAGTGTCTGGTTAGCAGAAACAAGCAGTGCTTTCTCCCCTCTGACTTTCCGGTGCCGGGTGCTTCGCCTGATGCCTTGTTTTTGGTAAGTGATGTAGTTCTGGTGCGAGATCTTCTGGCGCTTCGCGCCACCGTTGGTCTAGAAACAAGAGGCAAAAAAAAAGAAATCAGGAGCCCAAGCTCGTGGTTGGTGGAAAAGACGACCTCCCCACACCCCGGGCTGTGTTTGGGGCGTGTCGGTCACGCGAGGGGAGGCACAAAGCGCTGAAAAGCCCCGTCGGAAGCAAACCGCCAAGAGGTTCCTGCTGCTGCCGCCAGCGCACAGCCGACTACCAGCCGAGCCTGCCAGTCCCCATCAGTGTTTGATCTCTCCAAACACCCAGCGATGGTGGGGTATGGCTGCTAAAACGACAATCCAAGACGCTTGGTTTTGGCTGTTAGTGGCACACAGAGGGGGAGGGCTATCCTCTCACGCTGAGTCAAGAGGATGATGCAAAACCGAAGGGACCTGGCGGTATTTTTGATCTCTACCTGGTTAAAATCTGGGTCTTGCTCCCCCTCTGGCTTGTTTTCCTCCCTTTCCTCTTCAGCTTCTGAGCTGCTCACGTTCAGCTCTGGAGCAGCATCCTTCATTACCTGAAGTCACAAAAAATCATTCTCTGTAACTAAGCTGACACCATCGACCCAGACTGACTGTCACATCGCAGCAAACAGCTTGCGGAGACCTCCAGGACACCACCTTGACCCAAGGAACAGAGGCAGAGCAGGAATAACCCAGGGATCTGCTCCACGTGCTCTGCAGCGTCTTCTCTGCCCCTTCCCAGCTGCACAGAGCCACGGGGGGATTAGGCTCCGGAGAACAAGCTTCTCTATTGCATTGCAGGTGCTTCCTGTTGCTCAGGACCTACCCTCCTCTCTAGGCAAAGGCAAAGTCTCCAGGGGCCTGGACTGATTTCTTTCCCATTAGCTAGCTGCTTCTCTGGTTCATCTAAGTGTATTACAAAAGCCCTAACACGGAGAAAGGAATATTATCTGTAAATTAGACACTTATCCATCCCTGCAGCCGACTGACAGAGGCACTCAGCACCATTATTTATGGGTCTGGAGGCTGTAAGTAAATGAAATCTAAATAATTTACACAAACATATAAAGAAAAAGGATGTTCAGTTCTGTGTAAGTCACTCCAGGAGGCATGGATCTGCTGGACGTGAATTCACATCTACGCTTCGCCCGGAGCTGGGGTTTGCAGGAGCCCAGGAGACTGGCGCGCTCTCCATCCTGGATGCCTGAGAACTCATTTCTCCATCAATGTATTTGCTATTAATGATGCAATCTGAGCTCCCAAACACCCAAGCACCGACCGCAGCCTCCCCAGAGCCCTCTGAATGCCAGCAGTGCTGCCCTATGCTGGTTTTCTATGGCCACGGCTTCCCTCTCGCAGCATCAGCTGCAGGACGTACCCCGGGGGTTGCAGGGGGGGGCAAAAGCCGGGGTGAGGGGACAGAAAACGCTCCCTGACTTTGCAAATCAAATCCAGCAGGGCAGGGAGCGGTGGCTTTGCTCGCTGCTGTCCGCAGTCCTCGCTGGCGGTGCTGCCGCGCTGCTGGCGGGCATTAACGCCGCCTCGCATCGTGCCGAGCCTGCCCTGTTAATGAGGGATCTTGCAGGCAAGCTCTCGCCCCCTCTCTCCCAACTCCAGCTGCTCAGCAAAGAATAGCTGCCTGTTTTTTTTGCCAGCCCCACGTGTGAGCATGGGCCTGTCCAGCACCAGGAAAAAACAAAAAAACAAAAAAACAAAAAAAAAAACCACAAACGCACAACTGAACAACAACCCTTCTCTGCACCAGAGCCAAGATACAGCCTTGGGACTGAGCCTCAAGACGGGCTGAAAACCCAGAGCTGATGGCTCAAGACTGTGCTGCGTGCTCTACATCTCATAATCAAGGCAGAAACCCCGCCAGCCTGTGGCACCCTGCAGTTCCCCGGGCTCCAGCTCCTCCCTTAGATTGGCAAGAAGGTGGAAATCAGTACAATGCAAAAAAAAAAAAACCAAAAAACAAACAAAAACCACCCAACCCAACGAAACCAACAAGAACAACAAAAAAAACCAAACCCAAACCAAAAAAATCCCGAACCCCAAAACAACCCCACACTGCAAAGGTGCAGGGAACATCTTTATCTGAGCTTGCCCACGAGCCTTGGTTTCCTCCTTAAAGCATAAAGCAAGCCCTAGGGAGGAAGATTTACTGTAACCAGCTTTTGTTTACCTGTAAAGCCAATCCTAGACCTGATACTGATCCCTTAAGACACCAGTAAAGCAGAGACATAATGCACAGCTTCGTAAGGGATCCTGAAAACCACCTCTAAGTCCACTGCTATTTCAGCACGGAGGTTAAAAGCTTATTTCTACCAACTGAACAACCGAGACAGGCTATGACAAATATTGGAGGGGGAGAACAGGCAGAGCCTGATAACGCATTATGAAGACAGAAACAGCTACAACATTGCCTAAAATCATCAAAGCTGGGAACAGTCATGAAGATACCTGATAACGCAAAGCATCGGTTTGACAAAAGGAAGCCTCGAGGAGACCAACTTTTCAGAGCGGCTACAGCCCGAGTTTTCCCATTTGCTATTTTTGCCAAAGCGATAGCTTTCACGAGCCACGGAGGTGGGGGCTTTTGGCCCGCAGCGAGCAGCCCTGCCCACCCCCACCACGGGCTGCCCAGCAGGTCCCAGCCCTGCGGGGACGTGGCTGGCTGCGACAGGCGCCTCGCTGCCACGTTCAGATCGTTACTTGGGTACGTGGTGCACTTTCTATTAAATGAAACGGAGCCAGGACGAGTAAGGACCAAGGGAGAGAGCCCGTACCTTTTTATTATCCACCACTTTATGGATGTAGATGGTCGCTTGGGTGTACTCACGCAAGTCCCGCTGCTGTTGGCATAAGAGCCCTTCTCTGCACTCTGGACAGAGTTCTAGGGAGGCACAAAGGAAAAATGCATTTCATTGCTTCAGCTCCTCGGAGACACCTGCCCAAAGCTTCTCACCGCTAACCCGGAGGGGATCACATAACCAGGGGCCTCTGCCAATCTCCACATTTACCACCGGTCCCCTTAGCTCTGACCCTTCATTCAAAAAAAGAGCCATTTCCCAGGGAGTGGGCACCAACTAGCAAAAGAAGAGAGCACAGACAGTGGCAAAAGATTCACTCACGGGGCTCAGAGGTGTAAAGTGCGCTCTCGGGGTCTGCCCCGGCAGCTTGCGTTCGGGTAATTTTGATGACATGATCCACGACGAAGAGTTTTTGAATCCTCTCCCACTCACTGGGCCATATTAGAGCTATACTGTGCAAAGGAACAAAAACGTGCTTTGTGACATGGAAAAGCCAAGCCCCGAGCTCCCGAACAGCTTCCCCCTTTTCTTTTCAGGCTGCTAATGAAAGAAAAGCTGTAAAATCAACCCGTAACTCCAGCGACACGGGAGGGCCTGTACACCCGAGCTAACAGGGGAACAGTAGCGTGTTATTAGTGACACTGCACCGCTCCGGGCATGCCGGAGGGAGGATGGACTCGGAGAGGTGTGGAAGATCTCCTGCTTTTAGTTCTGCGTCACTGCAGAAGCAACGTTACAGAGCATGAACTCCAGCCCAGCGCCCAGCACTCCGGGGGCAAGTCTCCCAGAAAGCAAATTGTAAGGAAGCCAGATGTTTCTGTGCCCCGGTCAAATTCAGGGTGGTTTATTGTTAGGAACTAGCCAAGCTGAAGTAAGCTCTCTTTTCTCCTGACCCAGCATCCTTTGACAATTTAAGTCTTGACTTGCACGAAGGCTAAGGTGGACCTGTCCGTGTTAGTTTTGTTCAAGGGAAAGCATTTGCTCCTCATGTTGCTGCAGCTCCGCCAGCCTCCCGGAATGTTTCCCTGCAGGCTCACAAGAGACAAAGGCACCTGGCAAAGACAGATGCATGAAGAGAAGAAACTCACAGTTTGGAGTCTTCTTTGGTCATGGAAGCGTAGGTGAACATGAGCCCCCCGTGGGGGCAGAGAAGAGCACTGTTTCCTACCGAGGACACGGGGCTGCATCGCGTCGGCCTCCTGCACAGGCAAAGGAAAGAGGTTTGCAAGGCTCAGGCAGGTTATTTCACAAACCCCACAACTCTGCAGGCAGCCAAGAAGAAATCACAGGTGAATATTTACGGAAGACATTCCAACGGGGAATATTAAACCACTGTCGATGAGGAAATCAGATCTCCGTTCCTGTGTGTTGCAAAATTACTCTCCTATCTAGCAGAATTCCATCTCTTACCACCAGCAGCCCATGGAAACAGGATTGAGCAGTGACCCTGCCTAGGATACAGCTCCAGAGAGATGAAAAAACTAATCAGGTTACTATCTAATCCAACCATCTGGTTAAGACATGGTAAACAAGGAAATTCAGTTTCTTACAACATATTACAACTGATATGAGTCCTGCAAAAAAATCAGCTTCCTTGTTTCCACAAAGGCAAACCGCACGTAACTACACACCACGCCAGGATTCAAAAGCAAAATCATTATCTACAGTCCCCCAAAAGTAGGAATAATAAGCACCAAAACCCTCAAGCCAAGTTACCTGACAAATTTCCTCCATTCTTCTACAAAGAACTGTGAAACAATATACAGCTCATCTGTCTCCTGGAGGTGAAAAGAGGGGGAAAAAAAAAAAAAAAAAAAAAAAGGGATCTTTTTTAATTAATCCAACAATAGAGAAGCGATGACTGTTCAGCTTTTTCTGCAACACTCATTCTCTTCGAGACCTCAGCATTTTTACCATGACAACTCCATCCAAGCGCGCTGGGAAAGCCAAGTAAAATAATTTGGGATCAAGTACTAAGCACTTGCATTACTAGTCTCGTGATTACAAAGTTAGTTTAGCTTTAGATATAATTACTATTAATTCACGGCAAGAAACGGTCATTTCCCCTGGAGCAGCTAAGACTCCCCAGCTCTGTGTTCGATTCGCCGGGTACTCGGGGTCGAAAGCAGATGTGCTCCTGCACCCCCACGGGTGTGGGGTCAGACCACCCCGACCCCCCTCATTTGCTTCACCCATCAAAACCCCGAAGTTTCTCCTTATGACAGCAGCACAGATTCAAAACCACGGCCGTGTACTCTAACGAGGCAGCGGTTTTAGGATAAACCAGTTTTGCTACCCCGGATGATTTGCTGTGAAATAGTCTGCTCCTGGACAAGAAACCACTAAGATCCCTAGAGCTGGGTGACAAACTAATTCCCGTGCTCACCTATCCTCACCACCTTCCCCAACGTAGATTTAATGACTTGCTTCATCCTTCTGTAAGAAAATTCAGCATACCTGAGGTTTTGGGTTTTCTTTTTTTTGAATCTCTCTTCATCTCCTCTAGATTAAACTGCTCTGCTTATTTTTCCCCCTGAACCTCAACTGTTTTCGATCAGAAAAACTCACAAAGCTCGAGGGAGCGATCTTCAGCTCTTTTTTTATCATGCTCCCTTGGGAAAGTCAAAGAGCGGAGGATGTAGCCTCACTGTCTGGAGAGACCCTTATATTTCAAGCTGACCCATGGTGATGAGCTCCAGCTTTCTATCACCTACTCCAGTTCCAAAAGCAGACCCGACCAGATACTACCTCTAAATACCACCCGTAGGACCTGGCAGCTCTCCAGAGAGCGCTTCCTCTTTAAACCCTTTTGGGACTCCCCGGTTCTGAGACATGGATCCGTGCTGACCTCAATATTTATTCACGGCTGGAGAAGGCACCCGAGGGTGGCAAGCTGCCCTCACACGTAGGAGCGACCGAGGCAGACACCTGCCAAAGCAGCTTGGCAGGATCTAAGAGTCAATCATTAAATCAGCGCCGCGAGACGTCCGGGAGCCAAGGCGTGGAGCCAACAGCTCGGGCCATTTCTTCTGAGCCGCCTCAAAGCCCCAAGAAAGCCCTGGAGAGCCGCACGCTTGCACCGGGGAGAAGCTGGTACGAGAGGCCTTGCACAAGCCTTGTTGCTATCTGTGGGGCTTCGGCGTTTAGGGAAGCTCCCCCTGAGCTCTCGGGACGGAGGGGGGATGCCAGAGCACAGGTGAATTTTGTCTGAAGGGCAGTGGAAAGCCCTTCGAGGGGCGGATGCAACCGCAGCAGCAATATTGTCGCGGCTTATCAAGCTGACGCTGGGCCAGCAGCAGCTATGCTGGCACACGAGCCATTCTCGTGTATCTTTAGCAGGGCTTTGTGCCAGCACGGCTAATCGGGGGAAATCACACCTCGGCACAACACACGTGTAAGCTCTGCTGGCACAGGCTTCCCAGCGCAGGCACCGTCTCACTTGGACTCAGTGAATGATTATCAGGCACTCTCTCTCACAGGTGAAATGAAACTTCTTAAAGAAAGGGATAAAAGCTAATAAAAACCTCCCCCAGAGCCCTGCTGTGTTCCCCTGGTCACCCTTCCCTCCTGTACCTGAGGCCAGCTGCCCAGGCAAGGCCGGCATTTATCGTGAAACAGGTTCTGGAGAGAAGTCTTCTGCTCGCTGGCCATCATCTTATGCAGAGCTTCGTTCTCCTCCCCTTCGCGCTCCAAAATCTGCACGAAACAGTTAACCACACCCCAGCTTCAGTTCCTAGCTGCTATTAAAAGGTGACATTACTTTACTGCACTTCGTTGTGTTAAAAACAGCAATAGGACCGTGCATTTACAGTCAACAAAAGGGTAATATTTGGCATTCAAATACCTTGCACTGGGAACAGCACTCTTTGTTATTTGGGAATTCAGGGGCCTTTGGAAAATATTGCTTGAGTTTCTCCCAGGCTTCCTTTGAAACCACCCTCCGTTCGTTTTCGGATATGCACAGGTCACCTGCAGAGAGAGAGCCAAGAGAAGGGCTTTGCTCCTGATGCGCTCAGCGCTGTTTTGCAGCCCTAACTAGATTTAAGAGATTACAGGGTATAAACGTGGGGGAAGATATTCATGCCCTTATCAGCCAACACCATGTCAGCAAAAGAGAGCGCAACTAATACACAAAGTCACCTTCAACTTCTTTATCGTTTCCTTGTTTACACAGGAAAAAAAAACCAAAAACAAACGACTTTAATTCATGTAAATGTCCTTTAGATTTCCAGGCTCATGAACCCAAGCAGCTGATCAAATACAAGTGGCGGTAAAGAGATGCTTGGAAAAGCAAGGACAAGCCAAAGAGGGCACAGGGCTACTGTCTTCTGATCTGAGCTATCCATAGCTACATTTTGATGGCAACTCCATTTACCAAGCTGCAGACTAATCCTGGGCCCCGTGAAACAGGAGCCAGGTGCTTTCTGCACCCTTGAAAAACAAAATTCCCGCGGTGTAATCTCAGATGGCTTCACGTGCCCTCTCCCAGCACCTCGCAATCTGGAAAGGACGGATTCTGCACTCCAGACCTGAAGCAAGATTTTCCAGCTAACCCCCAGACAACTTGACCGCTGTATTATTTATCCCGATGCTCAAGGAGCCTAGAAAACCCCCAAAGAAGGGGTTAGCGCAAGACATTTGTCATTTCAGCAGCAGCTGGAGCAGAAAGGTCACGCTCAGGCGTTTGGACACGTGCGCGGATGGCGACACGCGCTCCTGCGGACAGGCGAGGCTTGGGAAAACGGGAGGAGAGAGCTCGGGGATCCGAGCAGCCGCCCGCTCGCAGGCTTGGCAATCCTGCCCCCTCGACTATCGCCAAGGGGAAAACACAACGCCCGGTGAGACGGCGGGTGGGTAGTCGAGGCACGGCTGTGCCACACGCAGTCGCAGCGAGAAGCAAGAGGAACAGCAACACAGAGATGCAAACTGGATGTGGATGCGGCAGGGGATCTTCACCTTCAAGCCTCGAGGTGGATTTTACCAGCAAGAGGGAAGCAAAACAGCAACTGTGAAGTCGTGGTGCTAAGCAGTGTCCACCAAAGGGCGCAATACCTTATTATCTGCTTTTTCTATAGCCTGAAGAGCTATAGAAAGGAGACGGGGAGGAAAGGCTCCTTCCTCCCCACCCTCCGGTAGCTCTTTAACATTACAAGCAGCTCCTCGGGCCCACGGACCCGTCGGCTTTCCTCGCTCCAGCCAAGCCTGGATCTCTGCCAGCCCCAAAGGGAAAAAATAGCAACGCTCCCCTCCTGCTTTCCCTCTAATAAACAAAGGTCGGGCTGGACTGCTTCGACGTGGCACTTGGCCACTTAATTCTTCATCAAACACGACCAAGTGGCCCAGCTTTACCATATGAGGAGGCAGAACCAGGCTGCTTTCCAGAGCCAGCAAGGATGGTGAAAAATAACTGAGCTTGTACAAATAAGTGCCTTGACACCACATGATTAATGAAAACAGATTAATACGTGGTTGAGCAAAAGAGGTGGAAAAAATCAGATCTGGGTGTATGGGGAACAAGTGCTTTGCCATCTGGAAAATGATGATTCTAACCACTGCTGACCCTGCTTCCCCCTCCCACTGTCCAGGGACATGTTTTGGGCACAGACATCAAAGGAGTCTTAACTTGGTATCTGGAAAAAATTATTCGCTGGGGTCGGGCAGCTAGCAGAGAGCAAGAAATTGCAGCAAAGATGCAAAGGGACTTCTTAAGGGAACACCCGGATGGCATTTCTGGAGGCCAGCCAGACCTCACAGATAAAGCGCTGGCTTTTCCAGAGCCTACCATGAAGGCAGGAACTTCCCCCACAGCCAAATCAAGGCTGTAGGACCGAGACTACAGATTTGCTGATACACTCCAGAGGGAAATGTTAAAGATGGAAAGGTTATTTTCCATGAGTAATCGGAGGTTAGCCGAGGATGATGAGCTCTGACCTGCCAGTGGCTCCCATATTTAATATTATTTATGCTGATACGACTCAAAGTCACAGATCAACTAGCAATTTACCAGCATAATATTTTCAAAGGCCTATTGGCCTATTTTTATCATGTCTGGCTACATGAAATGTTTCATCACCACGCTGCATGCTCTTACTTAACAGCAGCAGCCTCCCAGCAATGAGAAATATGGCAGCGTTAAAGACTCTGAAAATCAGCTAATGCTGTGACAAAGTGCTTAAACACTCTGCTTTAAAATGACGATTTATCATGCCATTACTCTGCATTCTTGATTAGCTTGATGACAGGAGGTGTGTTGCTAATTTATAGCATGTTTCTTTCTTACTAGAACTAAGATCAAGCATCCCTGGGAGGGAAACTGATGCCTACAAACAGGAGCTTACTGGAACAGTTGTGTCTGGGAGTGACATACAAGCTAAAAAAGTGAGATTTCAACAACAGGGTAGCCAAGGATGTAGCTAATGAACCGTCACTTAGCAAAACAACTATCATCGGGGCAAAATCTTATGTAAACGGCCACCAAAGCACAGCAGGTTGGTAAATCAATATCCCTGGCGGTCCCAGCCACTCCCGGATCAGCCCACAGTTTCTACAGTTGTTAGGCAAGTGCTCCTGTTTTCATGTAAACGAAGACAATAAATGGATACTCTCAGTTCCCACCTTGGCTGATTTACACCCTCTGTTTTTCTCCTAATACTTCACGAGCTTTCAAGTGGCTGCAGACCCCTGGTGCTGCCCTTGCCCCGTCAGGTGCGAGAGGAAGAGATGCTGGTTTCTGCAGCCCAGCACCTCTGTGTTTACACCCCCGTTCACTGCCTCACAAAACTTGGGCTGCCATGTGATAGCGCTCGCAAATAACGCTCAAAGCCTGAGTGTCAAGAAACACCAGGCAAACGAGAATTAAGCACATTTCCTCAGTAACTATTCATGCTGGCCTTAGATGGAGCAAAGGCTACAAGGTTAATGTCTTGAGCAGTGGGCAGCAACAGATATATTCAGCTCCATCCCCTGTGGAGACTTACCATGTGGGCAAACGATGTCCTCATTAAAATTTAACTCCTCTTCCTCCTCTCTCTTCTCTTCATTGGATTCGTCTAATTAAAAAATAAATAAAAATAGAAGAAGATTGCACAGAGTTCCTCTCCCAAAGAAAGGAAAAACCTTTGGGGGAAAAGCAGCACAGTTGCTTTTCAAATGTGGCAAAACCCTTAACCCAAGGGAGACTTTGGAAAGAAATTTGCTATTCTCAGATGTCTTGGCCTCTGGGCAGGCGGGATTACAGCCTACAGGCCATGTAGGAGTGCTTTGAAGCACCTGGAGCACAAGCCGGTCCTTTGTGAGATTACAAAGGACACATTTGTTATGGCTGAAACACCACGGGGGTTCACTGCTCCCAGAGATCTCAAGTTTAACCTAAACACAAGTGTAGGTAAGAGTGCAGGGAGCAGAAACCTTCCTGGCAAAATATTAGTCTGCTCTTTGCCTTGAGGATACTGATCTAAACCAGATGCTGCCTGACAAACGAAGAGGGAGCCTGCCAGGGGTTTGACAAGCCCTAATCAACGTGTAAATTATAGTTAAGAACTGTAGCTCCACAGACAGAAGCACTGGTCGCTGAACGGGAGCATCATAAACACAATAATGTGTCAGTCAGAGTCTCTAACGACCTGCCTAATGAGCAAGTTGGCTCGTGAGCAATTCCAAGCGTACTACTGGGAGCTGCAACCTGTTGTGAAACCGGGGTCACCAGGAAGGAAGGTGGGCCAGTCACTCAGCAGAGAAGCACCTTTTTCTCAATGAATGGCTCCAACCCGCAGCGCCAGCTTACAGATACTATCAGGAGGGCTGTGGTGATCTCCGGGCCTTCAAGCCCAAGATCAGTGCTATTAGCCCATCATCTCCACTTTCATTCAAGCAAGCTCCTTGCCCTCAGTTCCGAAACAAAAAGCTCAACAAAATATCCAGTTTCCAAAGGTTTAAAGAGCAGAAAGCAAATAAAAGTCTTCACAGACTCATGATATGGGCGCAGAAGAGAGTTCATGATTTTTTTTTTTTTTCCCCTAGGCTGTGTTCTGCCACTGCCACTTTACCAGCTGTGCTGTTTCATCCACAGACCTTCGCAATAACCATCTTCATCCCTTGCCCAAGTTAATTTTCATGTTTCTTCCTCCCCTGTGCTCTCCCATTCAGACAAAAGCAGATGAAAAGATCACGTGTCTGGGGTGGTAATTTTACACAGCTTTGTAAAACTACTCACTACCTCATCTTCTCTGGGTACAAAGATCACCCAGGAGTTTTGAAGTTTATGAAGGAGCTTTTTATTTTATTTTATTATCCTTTCCTCCCTACTCATACAAGGGAAACAAAACAGCTCCAAGAACACCTGATGTGTCTTTTGTTAGGATGTATCAGTCAGAGCTGGTGCGGCTCTACAGCAGCAGAATTACCTTTGTTTTGTGCGTTTCCATTCATTTTTCCATTACTGTGCTCTGCATCTTCATCTTGCTCATTTAATTGCTCCAGAGCCAACTGACGCCAGCTCCGCAAGGACGCCTTTCCAACCCAAAATCCATCATTCCTGCAGGGGGAGAACAGCGTTGGCCATGTGAATCCCAACTCCATTCTCCTTCAGAGCCCAAACAGTAAAATCTTTAGGAAAACGCTATTTAAGCGCTTCCAAAAAAATCTCTGACAACGTTTGAAAGTATCCGGACTTACATACCCCTTCACTGTTATCTTCAGCAAGTTCGTAACTGTTTTGTAGTCTTCATTTAATTGGTTTTTCAGTCGCAGGATTCGACACCTTTCTACCACACAGTCCTTGCAAAGTGCTTTGACTGGGGTGGGGGGAAAAAGAAACAGAGTTTATTGGAAAATTTACTGCAAGCCTGGCTGAGTTTCTCACTGGTTTGAAAGTGCTCAGACAGGTATGTACCAACTATTCTGCCTCAAGACCAGAGATTTCATATGCAAATGAGGAGATTCCTGGGGTTAGTGCCAGACCAGGCTACATTTGAAGCTTAAATAAGTGTAAAATGCTTCAGATGAGGTGTGATCTGTACTAGCTTCACAGCTCTCAGCAGTTGGTATCAAGAGTTTGCAATTACAGCTGTTAGCCAGGTCATGCAAACCCACAGCCATGGGGGTCAAAAGGTAGGACAGTTTAGGCATATGCAAGGAAAAAACCTGTACCGTGGCAGTTTTCCAGACAAACCCAGAAAAAAAACAACCCTCCTGCAAAGGTACACTGGACCAACAGGAGTGGAAATCCTACAGCTGGGCACATATTTTCATCTGGGAGCAAGAGGGTCGCATGCAGGGAAGCCAGTCCGAGGATGCAGAGTGTCCATCCATCCCTCCCAGCTGTACTCAATGAAAAACCCTGCAGGCGATCTTCCAGTTGACTAATAAACATTGGCCTGGTTTTTTTTTTTTGGTTTGTTTTTTTTGTTTTTTTTTTTTTTTTTTACAAAGGCTGCCTGCGTCACAGCAGTTTCTGCTGGTTGCGTTTCTTCCCTATAAGCTCCTAGCAGGAGCTGAGCTAATTTGGTCTCAGTGGGAGTTATTGAGCTCCTTTATAAGAGAAACTAGAGCCTGGGGCTTGATTAAGGGATGCCCAAAGACTGTAGGGGCTGAACTGACCCCAAAAAACAAAATGCATGACAGATGCCTGCAACACAAGTACACGGGCTAGCAGGTATGCGCTTGCCTCGGATGAGGCAGCTTGGGATAAGCTAAAGGTGAAAGGCAGTGAGTGATTTTCTTGGCCTGCACACATCCACGCTGCTCCGGAGTGCAGGCTGCTGGCAAGAGGCAGCCCAGATCCGCACGCTCCACAAAATGCTGCCCACGCAGGATCTGTAGGTGCTGCAGGCACGGAAAAATAATTTTCAAGCGTCTGGGGGGCTGCATGTGCAAGTTTAGTTATTTTCTAGAATCAACTTCATAAAACCTTTCAAGTATTATGGTTTCTAACCTAAGTGCACCACTGCTTTCTCAGAAATTCCTCTATGCACAGCTCTTCCTCAACAGAGCAGAACTCAGGTATGAAACAGACCCTGCAATCAGACTAACTGTATCTGAATGCTAACATAATTAAGTGGTGTTAAAAAAAAAAAAAAAATCACCCGGAACTAACAGTGCAGGACAGAAGCTATGCACAAAAATAAAGTTGCGATGATAAAGGATGGCTCAAAACAGGGCTGGGACCAGAACAAGGCTCTAAAACACATTCAGCACACAAGAATGTGACTTGGAGAGGGCGTTTTCTAGCCTGACACCTTACCATTCAGCCTGGGCCCTCCTCCATATCTCCTGTAGAAGAAGTCAGCCACGTACTCCGATATCCTCTTCATAATAGATATTTTATCCGGATGAAGTTTGCCATGTGAGCACAGGCAGGCTGTGTTATCTATTGGTTTTGGTGGAGTGGACTCGTCCAGCCATTTCTGCAGCCACTCGAGAGAGATGAAGTCGTACGGGGAACCTGGGAGGAGAAAAAACACAAAGAGAAACAAGCCCGTACGTGTCAGCTAATACAGACTACAGCAGATGGTATTTTATAATTACTCTGATATTCAACGGTACTTTTAAAAATTAACAGGCTACCATTGTTGATTCAATCTCTGTGGTACAAGTTTTCAAACATCTGATACAGCTTCCCTCGCCCAATTCTCAGCTCCGTATTGCAGATTTAGAAGACAGAAGCTATGTGAAATTAAGATATGCAAGAACAAGCAGTCATTTTGAATTGAAGTAATCGATCTGAAATGGCAGAGCACTCCAAGTAAGAAAGCGAGTGCTTTCAGACTGCTAAACTTTTAGGGGCTTACTGGAGAGTAGTTGAGGAAAGGGGAAGGTTCTCCCATCGTCCATATTTAAATTATGATCATACATTACATGCTCTTTCTATCACAAATCGAGCTCACTGGGGTAAATTGAAAAATAAAAGGCAACAACAGCAAAGAGACGAGGTCAGTGTTTGCTCTGTCCCTCCAGCACCCAAAATTTCAGTGGTTTTCTGGGCTGCTCTGTAACTGTGGGTAAGAAACACTTGCACATTTTAAGATCAACAGTGCAAACGGACACTTGCTCCGATTTTTTAGCAGGAACATGATTTTTTTTGAAACACAGCAGCAGGCTCGCCCTTGTTTGCTAAAGGAGAAACACCTTGTGCAAAGCTAAGGTTCAGGAGCGGGTCAGTGTCTGTATGAGCAGCGAAACAGCTCTGGGTAAAAGCCCTGTCTCTTGATACCAAGACCCAGTATTGACGTGGAAACCCTTCTGCAATACGACTGGCAATTTAGGAGGAAATGAAACCCTTTCTGCTGATGTGAGGAGGGCAGCTCTGAAACTGAGGGAAAACGTAGACATTAGTTACATTTATCAAATGAACACAAATCCTTAATGTCTCATACAGAGGAGCAACAGAGAAGCTACAGAAAAATACTGCTCCTTCCAGCTTGCACTGGATCTTTGTGAAAATGGGCTTCAAACCCTCCTCTCTTCTGCGGCATAAATCAGTGGTATTTTCATCTTATGCAACGCCATCAGATACACACAGCCATGACCTCCAGAGAATTGCAATGCTGTCAGAAATGGTTTGCTAGTTTGGGATGAAAGCTGCCTCCCCCAGAAAGTACGTTTTTCTGGGGCAGGCTACACAAAGCTGGCAGAAAAATGTGTCTGCACAGCTGCAGAGAGAGTCCCGGGCTCCTGCGGGATCAGACCCGGAGCAGCTCTGGGATATCGCTGCCTTCAGCTGTGCCAGCAAGCCGCTGCGCTCAGGACATGCCCAGCAGAAAGCAGTGGGTGCCCTCAGGACAGTGCTTCAGATCCTGCCATCTTCAAACTGGGGCAGAGGAGCTTTTTTTTTTACCTGCACCTGTAAAAAAAATAATATCTTTTTGAGATTTATCCCTCTGTTCTGTCAGAAACGCCAAGAGCAAACTATTCTGTTTTTAAGGGGGAGAGAAAACGCACCAAAGTTGTGCTTGCGGCTCCTTTTTAATGGTGACTCACTGCAGATTCATACCTCCACAACTTTGATTTAACAGTGACATTTTAACACCGCTCAGACTTGCTGGGACCCTGCAAGATGAGCTGTGACACCCTCCTGCTCGTGAGTTAAGCGCCCGTTGTCTGCAAACAGGGGTTCATAAATTGAAGAGGCAGACGTTTATGGGAGCCGAGGAGTCTGCAGTTCAGCTACTCCAATCTCTGCTGGTTCTGAGCATCAAGCAATGAATACTAAAAGCTAAACATCAAACTGCCTAACAGGCTACACAGTTAAACCAAGTCTTTAATTACAAATTTCCTGGAGATTTTAGGACATGCACACAGTGGAGAAAAATTCCCCATGGTGGATGGACAAAACAAGTGCCCCTACGCTTGTTTTGAGGGAGATGGGAGAGAAAAACAAGGCGGGGGGGATAAAAATTCTTGTGCTCAGATCTGTTAAAGTGACAAGACACAAGGAGTAGTAGGAAAGGATCAACCACAGTCACTCGTCGGACGGACTATGAAGCTTAGACATGGGGCTTTGAAGTGCTGGTGGGGACAAATCAAGTAATTTTCTACTGGAGGTCAGGCATTCTCGTATTGTTACCTGCTGATTAATTGGGATCAACAGGTCCCAAACTTGCCATGAGTTGGCAATTTGAGACTGGCCAGTTATTCTGCCTTGATGCTACTAACCGCTAACGAGACGAGCTGCTCACTGGGCAGAAGAAAACAGTCACAATGCATGGAAGCACAGGGGAAGGAGCAAGAGGGAATTAGTGATGCCAGAGGCCATGAGAACGAGGCAAAAAGGAGAAAAATAGGTTAAGGCAGAAAAACAAAACAGGGAAAGCAAATCCTAAGCATGCACACAGCAACAATAGACAGCGATCGCTTTCCTCTTTGAGAGGACTACAGCTAATGCCTTCCAGCGAAGTGTTCAGGCCACAGAAGTGAGTTGTGGGTTAGTAACAAAACATTACGAATCTTAACAACAGTCTACTACAAAATACTACCACAATATCTTACAGACCAGCTTCAGCAGGTAACCTTTTGTAGAGCTCCTTCACCTCTTCATGCTTGATTTTGCCTCTGGCCACGCTCTGTTTGCGCATCTCGGCCATTTCGTTGCACCACTCCTCAAACTTGCAGTTATCACGCTCTACCAGCTCCTGCAGAAAAGCTGTTGGGAAAGAAGAAAAAGTAGTAATTTCAAGGAAAAATGCCAATTATGTTAATTATCCCTGCAACTGGTTATCTGGGGATAACAAGCAAGCCTAAAAATTGCCCCCCCCCCCAGCTACTGACATAGGTGGTCTTTCCAAAAGCCAAGCGCATGGACATTACTCTCTGCAGTATTTATGGTTGTAGATGATTAAATGTCCTGTGCAACACAACGGCGCCCAAGAAAATAATTTACTCGAGGTTGGTTGCTGCATTAAGAGAAATCCTTTGCTTGCTAACAAGCCTGTGCTGAGCACTGGCCGTCGTGCAAAGTGCAATGGGCTTCGGCGAGAGGCTGCAGAGCCAGAACGTGGCAGGACGCTTTGCTGCCTGCTTCAATCCCTCCCTGCTATTCCTCTCGCTCCAGCCACTTCTCTGCCTCCCACTGAGAGCAGCTCCTCTGTGCTGCCAAGGACCTGTCGTTCCCAGGGGGGAAGCAAGAGCTTTTCACCTTACAGATATACCTGAAGCCTGTCCCGATGTGCAGCCCCATGGGTACGCGTGATCTCAGTGAGGCACGTTGCAAGCCCAAGGACAAAAAGCCCTCAGGACACGAGAGATAAGCTGGGGCAAATCCTGGTGTCGACAGAACAGTGAGGGAAATGGGAATTTTTGCTGTCGCTGATGGAAAAAACCCAAACAAACCAAACCTCAACAGGGAAAAATAGAAGATAAAACACTTCCTTTGCAGGGCTAGTGAACAGGAGGGGGAAAGCACTGCTTATCTGAAGCCTTTTCCTATTTAGCAGTATTCTGAAGAGCTAAAATATTTCTAGAAAGGTTAACACTTGTGCAGCCAGAGAGCACACCATCCACCTTGGGAGAATATACAGTATTAAAAAACAACCAGCTTGACTGCCTTAAGGCCAGAGCCAAGTTACATCTCTCCACCGTCCCGGAAAAGCCGCTTTTAACAGCATCAAAGCAAAATGCCTCAAATTTACAGTTGCATGAAACCTCCCCGCAACCGCACAGCTCGACTGCTGCCCTTCGCTCCCCGTTCCCTGGCAGGCTTCCACGAGAAACAAAGGCAACCGCGGGGCTGCGCAGGAATTTGGAGCTGGGTGGAGAGGCTTTTGCCGAGTTATTGTTTTGGGCAGAGGGGTAGGAGGAAAGAAAACGTAAGAGAGCTCAGGAAGCAGGCTGAAAATGCAGATCTGAGGCAGAAATTAGCACTAATTCCCAAAGCTGTGTGGCTCAGAGGGTGGGTTTTATTGGGGGGGGGTGTGCTGGAAAAGTTTTGGTGCTGGTATTAGCAGTGTAAAAGCTGTACGATTTACCCTCTCTGCATCCAGATAACCCAAGCAAACAGCAGAAGAGGGAAGAAGGTGGAACACACCCTTCATCCTCATCAGCACCCGGGACCTAATTAATATTTCTAATCAAGTAGCACGCAAATGCGAAGCATCGTTAAATCCACAGGCCAAACCTACAGGGATTTCTGCCACCCCCAGTCATTCTAAAGCAAGACACGACTGCGCTCGTACAGAACTCCTGTTAAGGGCTTGAATCCTCTTGTTTTCATGCCATTTATTCACAATATGGCAAAGATTAAGCGCTCGCAGAAGAAACCTGACATCTGTCAGAGCTGCTCCCCTCCAGCACAGAACGTGCGCTGCCGATGACATTTAACCACGCTGCCTGCCTTTGCCTTCAGGACCCCGAGCGGTTCCTGCGGGATCCTGGCTGTGAACCCCAACGCTCCTGCTGCCGCACGCGGCTCCCTGTGGGACCATCTCCCCCTAACCCCTTCCCATCTCCTCTCGCTGGTTACGATGGCGAGGCCCGAGCGGGCACAGGGGTGGCATCATCAGGCTAATATTATTTAAGTGCTAGGAAAGCCCAGGGGTTTCACTGGTCATGACAGTGTGTTGCTACACGGCACCTTTGGGGGGGCTTGTGGACAGCGGTCACAAACGGGGCTTCGAGCAAAAACCCAACTCCTGGCCCACCTGGAGCACCACAAGACGAGATGGAGAGGCCAAGAGAGTCAAAGCTCACTTACCTGGTACTTCGATTGTCAGAGATTTCTCCCGGGTTTGCAGCCTGTATACCAGCATGTAAGCATTGCGTGAGCAGTGCGTCCCTTTCCCGCACTTAGGTTTACGAGTCTGGGATTTAGAAGGTTCCGCTGCGGTACAGAAGGCAAAACATAATAAACACACAAGCTCGCTTACTGAGTCTCCATTAACGGGACGAGTTTGCCACCTAGCCGGCTTCCCTCTCCCTGCTGAGCTCTGCCAGGCCTCTTCTTGCCAAGCACTGGGCTTGGCATGAGCCAAAACTGTATCCCAAAGCAAGACCCAAATCCCTCCAGCATTTCTGGAGGCAGGGTAATTCAAAGGGACCAAAATTAGGTGCCTGCTCTGAACCACCCTTCTACAAGAGCCTTTCTTCTCTCCTCAATTAAACCTCACCGAGCCAAAAGCAACTTTTGCAAAAACATCCTTTCTCCCCTTTGTCTCTTGTTCTGGTGTCCTAACACCAAAGTACAGTCTCAAGTTCTCAGGGGACAATAAAAAAATAAATCTTATTTACAGGTGATTACATATGTGAAAAAACACATGCCCTTCTGTTAGGCAACAAAGCTTTTATGGAATGAACAACCGTGGAAACAGTCATTTCAGAGCAGCTGGTGGTACGATGTAAACTTGTGTTGCAAGAGTTGCCATTTCCAGACGGACTGCCAGGCAAGGAAATACCACTTATCTACAGCTACAGCTTCAAACAAACAAACAAACAAAACATTTATTTAAAAAAATAAAGGAAAAACCCTCCGTAAGTCAAACTCTAAATGAAACATTGAAATACTAAGAAAAACGTCTGTCTCCCAAATTCTTGAAAACTTCACGTGCCTCTCCCACCACACCATCCAGGGGACTTCCTAAACACTCTTTATTTGCATTTTCTCCAGATATTTTCTAAATTGTTCCCATCTGTGCAGCCAGGCCACAGGACTCTCCCCACAGCAGACCTCTGCTTTACATTAGCGACCTTCTCCTGCTGTTGCATGCATTTGTAACAAAGAAGAACCTTAGTTTTTCTTGAAGTAGGCAAATAACATCACCCTTGGTAAATACATTAGGGCTCCCAGCCTACAGAGGCTTCTAAACATGCTTTACTTACATTCTTCAAGCAGCCTTGTATTTCAGCAAGAACACTTACTTGCAGTTAAGCATAAACCTTTACAAGCTTGAGGCCACAGCAGTTTATTTGCATCTTATTTTGCTACACTGGGTAACGTGGGAGGTTAAAAAGGCTGAGAAGCTCTTATTTCCTTTTGAGGCTTATTTTTCTATCTTACACCACTAGATGTCTAGCCAGCTTCACAATTTGGTTGGAAGCAAGTGGTAGTCAAACATTAACAGGATGAAAAAGCTGCTCCGGTGGCAGCCAGCGTTTATGTACGTCGTGATGAAATGCAGGAAGGTGTTTACTAGCAAGAGAGCTGAAAATAAAGCAGCACGATGCAGACGTGTGCACGGAAGGAAATGAGAGAAGGAGGCTAATGCCCCATGCCTGCTCAAGGGTGTCCTCAGGCTGACATGGCTTTACAACAAACTAAGGGAGCAAATAAATCTGAGGGTGTCTTTTCATTAACCTATTACTTAAGGATGCTTTAAAGAAAGGCAACGTTTCATTAAATCCAGTTGCAGCAAAGCACGAGCATCCTGGTGGGCCAGTGTTTCTAGGAATGCATTGCTTGCACTGTAAGTGAAATTTCTGACATTAACTTCCCCATTTCTTGATACTGCAAAGCGTCTTGTGCTAAGGAACTCTGAGCGATTGCAAATCCGAACACTCAAAATGCCAATTTAATGCTGAACCACTCCTATATATCGACCGCAGACCAAGAAACCTACAGGTCCAGCCTCAGCCCAAGCTCTCCAAGAAATCAAGACCTTGTCCCGTCCAGGGAACACGGTTATCTGGGCAGCACCAGGACACTGGCACAAGATGAGCTGATGTAGAACAGAAGAGTGCAAAGGAGAAGTAAAAAGTGCAAAATAAAAAGGCAGTTTTGACTTCCAAGCCGTTATTTGGATCAAGATTTTTTTTTTTAAACGAAGAGTCTTTACTGCCTCCAAGTAAAACACCTCAGTGGAAATAAAAATATAACGCGTTGAGGAAACTGAAAGTAATCTTGTTATCTGTCCCTAAGCCTCCTTTTGCACATCAGCCAAGGAAGCGGCAACTTGCCTGTTTCATCCCGATAAGACACTGATAACTTGGGCAGCAGTTGCCTATCTGGCATGCAGCAGGCAAGAGAAATACTAGAGGAACTGATTACAAGGTGTGTGTAAACACACACGGGGCTGAAACGAAGAAAATCTGGCTGCAATTTACAGAATTGCCATTTCATTCATTACTCCTAAGATGTGACAGCACGCATAGGAGCACTTTTGTTTTAGGAGTAACAGAGCCTCCACATATTCAGCCTCCGTGTTTTTGGTGAAAAGAGTTATTTTAAAAGGGCACTCACAACTTAAAGGTTTTACCTAGATCTTCCTCAATCCCCAACTGCAGTTTCTTCCCCTCCATCTTTTCTATGTCTTCGTCGTTGAACTTGTACCACTCGCCCGTCTGGGGATCCTTCACATGGGCGATGTAGTGCCCGGAGTACGCGCTCACGCCTCGGTGTATGAGGACGGCACTAAGTTCATACACGTAGACGCCATCTGGAAGGGAAGCAGCAGTTAGAGAGCACTCTGGATGAAACAGCACAGATCTCTTCTTTCCTAGCTCTCAACGTTCTTGCAAGGCAGCAGACAAAGACTGCACTTGAACTTGCACCTCTCCAAAGACATCGCTAAGTAGGTTGTGGCTTCTGCGACGCACTTAGCAAGGCAGTTATCTGAAACGCAGGCTTCGAACAACTCTTGACATAATTTTCCATCAAAAAGGGGATTCAGAGCAGATCTACCCTTGTCTGTCGAGGGGCGGTGGGTACCAATGCATAAAACTGTACACAAAACTCACTTTTTTGTTCCATAAAAGGCTCCATGTCAAGCAGCTCGGAGAAGCCGATGTAGGTGTTCAGCTTTTTCTTATGGCCAGTTTGTCTGTGCAGAAGCAAAGCTTCGGTTCAGGGGACAGCAGTAACAGTTCACACCTCAAAATAACTCCCCTCGAAACCCGCCAAGCCCCCCCCGAGACGGTCACACACGCACTCAATCCTCAATCCCTCTAACGCAGAAAGAGCAGAGCAGACAAATTCCCAAAGAGCTTCCACACAACCCAGGGCGCTCCCGCTTCTCCAGCACAGGCTCCAGCTAGGTGCTTACCTGTCAAACACGAAACGCATCAGCTGCAGGTTGAGTGTGCAGGGAAGACTCAGCAGCCTGATCTTTCTCGTGGCGTTCTGCTTACTCTGACAAGTTTCACAAAAATAACGATTGTCACCTTCTAATTTTTCTTCCTGAGTGGGGAGGGGGGGCAGAAAAAAAGGTCTTGAGAAAAGCTTACCACTGAAAAGTCAACCGGTCCAAGCTACTCAACAGTTGGAAACTGAAAGGCACCAGTTATTTTAACTACTTAAAGCCTCTGCCCAGCTGCTTTCTAAAATAATCTCTTGGTTAAAAACGCACGCTAATAAGTTTGCTTTACCACATGGCCATAGTAGGCTGCTCTCACTTTAAGAAAAATTTTAGACCTAATCAAGCCCTATTCGTAGTTCTCAGGTTGCCTATGAGACAGTCAGGTTTGCTCCCCGCTTGACTGAGTTGGTTTATACCAATGAGGGCTATGGAAAAAGAAAATAATTAAATTGTCCTTTTACGAGCTCACATGGACCAAGTTAATGTAAAGCCACGTTTTAGCCTGGAAACTACAATCCTGCACACAAACACCACCAATTAAGAGTCACTGTCTACACCTAAGCCAATCCAGTGGCAGGATTAGGCCAGAGGAGAACTCCAACTGCCCTAAACAAGGTCACCGGGTTGTTTGATTTACAGGAGGAGCAGACAAACTTGAAGTTCACCATTTCAGGATTTTAATGCACGTACACAAACCAGTCTTTTTTCATAACAGACCTTCTGCAAGCAGAGCAGCCGGTTTGCAGAGTGCATCAGGGAAGCTGCTGCCCAACAGCCAGTCAGCTCAGGTAGAGAGTCACGTTTCAGGTTAGTTCTGTCCTAAATACTTTTAGTTGAATCCACACCCCGCACCTTTAACATGCCAGATCTTAACTTAAGATCTAGGCAAATTCTCAGGTCGAATTAAGAGCACTTGCAGCTGTTCCACAGCTATTCCCAGCCCTTCCTAGTATCTTTAAGAGCACATTTTAGAGCCAGGAATGTCTCCTGTTGCTATGCAGATGAGCATCAACTTAGAAAACACAAAAAGCAGCCATTCTCCTGGTGCTATCCATGACAAAGCAGGAGGGGACTTTTGGGGGACTTTTTGTCAGACTTTGGAGACTTTTTCCCAACATTACTGGGAAAGTATTTTAACTAAGCATTGGACTTTCAAGTGCTTTTTAAAGCACTTGGCTTGTGCTCTGCTCGGGTCCTTCCTTGAATGACTTAACTAATCATTTTCTGGGTCCAAAGTAAAAAAACATTTCCTTTTGGATGCATCTCACTGAGGCAACTCAGTCGCTTTGCTCCCATACCAACCTCAAAGGCTGTTAAGTGAAGGAAGGAATTAAAACACCTTGCTAAGAATAGAAGCATTCAAAAACCAATGAGCTTGTACCTTAAGAAATTCCGTTATACAGTCTGTCAACTGCTTGTGCCCTTGGATGTTTAACTCCAGTTCATAAAATTTAGACACGAGTTTGGACTCCCTGCCACACTGGTTGCAGCTAGGAATAAAAGGCAAAAAAAAAAAAGAAAAACACATGAGGACGGTTCACTGGTTCATGCGTCTGAATTCCCCAGCTACTAGAAAACTACTCCTTGAGCTATAAAACCAGGAGAAAGTTAAGTCACAGTTAATGCAGTTCACGCCTCTACACCACAAAAACTCTGCAAGAAGCTGTAAAAAGGATAAGAGCATCTACTGAGAAAAACAGGAGCACCTGCTTACAACTTGCATACACTATTTTATATCATTTTTGAGGTAAAACCCGTAGCTCTGAGAATGCAGGAATGAAAAGTTGTCATCCAAGTATGCTATTTTCTGGCTGCAGGACTTTACGTTCCATTAACTCACTTGCAGGTTTAATTGGTAAATTTTCATTAAGAGGTTAAACGCAACTGGAGAACTGCAACAAAACCATGCACACAGAATCAGGAAATCTAAAAGCTAAAAACATCTCACAAAATGTTTCAGTAGAAGCTTACCTGCCTGCTCCGGTTGTTAGGAGGGAACTTTTCCCCACTCAAATTCTTCTAAAATGTGTAAATATTTACAGAAAGCTTCTTCCTGAAGACCAAATACTTACACCGTGACATAGGCGTACTCTCCACAGAACTGCTTTTGCACTATGTTTCGAACATCTGGGTTTTTTTGTTTGGATAAAGTATCTTCCAGCAGTGACATGAACAGCTTTGAAAACTCCTGGGCATCCTAGAAGAGAAAGCCAAGTCCGTTAACAATACGCCACAGCACAATGCCCAATCACAACCTTGTCGCTAATTTACTGCAAATTACCCGCAGCCCTACACACAGGCTGCACAGAGGCTCCTGCGTGCACTGAATAGAAAAAAAAGACCAGTCGGGAGAACTAAAGAAAAAGAGGAATTTGCCTAAAAGGAGCACGAGGCCCCCAGCTGAGACCATGGCGGGAGTTACCCTGGCTCCTGGCCAGCCACGCCGGGTGGTTTGACTTCTGCCCCGCTCCTCGCAGGGCTCTGGAAGAAAAAGAACACTCCTGCAGAGCTTTCTATCCCATTAATGCTTGTTTTTCAAAAGCTCAGACCGCAACTCAAGCTGCCCCTGCTTGCGTTATAGGTGAGATGAAAAATAAAAACACCCCAAAAATAAGAAGCTGTCCTGTGGATTTGTCCCCTCCTGCAAGGCTCAGGAGCTTCCCCACGCTCATCTCGGGGCCTTCCCCTCCCACCCTGGCTCTTCTTTGCTCTCCTCTCCCGAAAGCAAACAGGCTTTGACCTTTCCCAGCTGTCCTTTAGTATCACTGGCCGGTAGTGACCGCTTCCTTCCCCCTCCGCATCCTCGAGGAAACGCACGCCAGCGCTCAGGCTCTTCCTCCAGCAATCTCTCTCTAACCTCTCAAAGTGTATTTTTGAGCCATGCCATTCTCCCGAGCCCTCTTTGGCTTTGCCCAGAGCCCCACAGGACCTGTCTACAGCCCTCACCCCTCTCTTAACCACATTCTCTCTGCACCACACACTCACGTTGGACCTCGGCTGGCTCCTGGTGACCCAACCAAACGTCTCCTCGCCTTGCCAAGGCCCTTCAACCCGTGCTGAACCTTCCCCCTGGGAGGAGCAGCCCATAAAGCAGCTGTGAAAGGACCCTCATGGCAGCTTTGGCTCCCACCCCGCCCAGTGATGGGGTCAATCAGGCGCTAACAACACTCCCCATCCCCATCCCATTGCTTCCTGAGCTCCTCCTGCTCTCCCACACTAATGGGAAGGGCCCAGAGCAGGGCTTCTCCCTTTGTGTTTGTAGCAAGCAGTAGAACCCAGCTCAGAGATGCTAAAATAACACAAAAGGACAGTTTCACACTTTTAAAGAAGGCAGTTACTCGAGGGGCTTGTCTCAAACCTACCTGCTGCTGTCCGGTGTCCAAGCCCAGTGCTTTGACAAACCCAGAGGGATCGATGTATCGCCTTTTGCTGTTCTGCAGCAAGGCAAACAAGTACTGGAGGTGCTCACAAATGGACTGAGGTTCATAGCCTATTAAAAACGGCAAGTTGCAACAAGTTACAGCAAGTAATTCAAGGCAAGAGATAACTGTTCCAAGTAATTCGCTCATTCTTTCTTTGTATGGGTAAATTTAATGATTAGAAATGGTACGTTTTTTAAAAGCTGTTTCAGATTATCGTAAGAACCGAAGCGGTTCATGTCAATGATGACAGAGAAGTCTCACTGCAGGCCAAATATCACAGAATCATTTAGGGTGGAAAAGACCCTTAAGATCATTAAATCCAACTGTAAATATGCCGCAGTGCCTAGCACGAGTTGTGAGCTAAGAGTTTAAGCAGCGTATGCCAACTACCCCACAGCAACAGCTTCTTTTTTACTCTAAACAGTGAGATATCATTTAAAAATGCCATAAAAACTGGAACAAAACAGATCAGGCGACTGCCCTGACCCAGGGTGCACCTATAGTGCCGTATCACACATAAAGGTACATCACCGGAGGCCATCACATCCACTGTGCTGGCAACTGGGAGCTTCATTCGTACCAGGGCCCTAAGTTTTCATCCTCCCACGGGATGAGAGCGGCTCCACGGTCATGAAGATCAGCCCCAACCTCCATGTTCCACCCCCAGCACCATCATTACACTGGGAACCAGTTTAGGAAGCAGCCCGGCAAGGAACAAACCCAAATCAGATTTTTCAACCAGATCAGATCACTCTGATTTAAGAAATGACTCGGATAAAGGTTGTCGTTCCTAAAAGCCGGGTGATGGACTCCAAAACAATGGGGTTGAGATTGGACGAGCAGCTGTAGCTTCACCCATCAATTCTCCTGATAACTGTTATCTCAAAGCCGACAACACTGTGCAAGATTCCCATTCTCAGCATCCGGCCTTTCACTCACCTTTGTCTTCTGAGATGCCCTCTCCAGCCACGTACTCGCTGCAGGTGCTGGGACACAAGTAGAGGGCTTGCCGGAGCTCCAAGTTAAGAAACCACATCTGCAAGAAAGTGTTCACGTAGCACGTGGCGCCGAGGTTCGTTAAGCCCACGAACGCGTTCTGGCGTGAGAGAGAAAGCAACAGTCGTCACTCAGCCGCTGCCGAGGAGCAGGAACCCAGCAGCTGGGGCGGCTGCTTTATTACGGCTGTTTGTCAAGAAAACGCTGTTTTGGCATTGTACAAACAGCCGCATCCCAAACTCCCTGGTACGGGGTGGGGGGCGTGAGGTGTCACCTCCCCTTGTCCCCATCTTCCCCCGGGGACCACGAAGGGCAGGTGATGCTTTTTTGGGGAGGGGGGACAGCGATACCTTCTTCCGGCGCTCGCAGTTGGGGTCGTCGATGTTGTGGAAGCTGTTCTCATCTATCTCGCCCAGCCAGATGTGCTCCCCGATGCCCACCAGGCAGTTGGGGTTCCCCCGGCAGTTCCTCCTGTGGAGGCAGCACCCGCCCCCCAACTGTCACCCCCTGCATGGAAGGGATGCTGCTGTCCCTTGGGGGAGGTGGGAAGGCGGGGGCGAGGACAACAAGGGGGACCCCGTAACGCCAAAGGGAGTGAACGGGGTGGGACACAGGTGCCCTCCACCCCTGAAAGATGGTGGTTACGGGTAAACAAAGAGATAGGAGGTCTAGAGAGGGAGAAAAAAGGGGGGCCCCAGGGAAGAGTAGAGAACCCACGGAGGTCCCGTACGCAGGGGGAGACGGGCAGGGAGAGCAGTCCCTCCCAACCCCGGGGGAGGTCCCCTACACCTCCGAGGCAAGGCAGGGAGAGAGGTCCCCAACAACCCCAGGGAAAGGGAGCCCAAAGAAGAGAGCACGGGGGTCCCCCCCCTTCGCCCCTGCGGGACTCAGCGAGGGCGGGGTGCTTCTCCAGCCCCAGGGGAGGGAGAAGGGACGCGGGGTCCCCTCAGCCCCGAGAGAAGGGAACAGGGGACCCCCCCCCAGGCCCCAAGGGCTCGGGGTGCCCCACAGCGCCGAGGGAGCTGGTGCGGGGCGGGAGGGGAGGGGAGGGGGCCCGCGGGTACCGGCAGGCGCCGCGCTGGCAGGGCTCCAGCCGGACACGGTAGGCCGCCTCGATGTGCTCCTGCGCCACCGCCTCGGGCGGCACCGTCTCCGTCCAGCGCCACGCCGCCTTCTCCAGCTGCAGCCGCGGCGCCATGGTCGCCGCCACCCCCCCCCCCCCCGCCGCCTCCGGACCGGGCCTGACCCGGCCCCGGCCCCGGCCCCGGTCTCGGTCCCGGTCCCGCCCGGCCCCTCCCGCCGCCGCCGCCGCCGCCGTCAAGGCCGGTGACGCCACGGACGCGACGGGCGAGCGGGCGCGAGGCGCTGACGGTTACGGGCTGCGACGCGCGACAGGCCCGGGGGCGGGGCCCTGCGGCCCTGCGCGGGTGGGCGCGTGGCCCGAGACCACGTGCCGCCCATACCGGAACCCCCCCGATACCGGAACCCCAACCACACCGAAAACCCTTTATACCATAACCCCCCCACACCATCACCCCCCTCACACCATACCCCCCCTATGCCATAACCCCCCACACCATCACCCCCCTTTACCATAGCCCCCCCACACCATAACCCCCCCACACCATAACCCCCCCACACCATAACCCCCCTATGCCATAACCCCTCTATACCATAACTGCCCCATACCATAACCCCCCCCTATATCATAACCCCTCTCACACAATAACCCCCCTATACCATAACTGCCCCATACACTAGCCCCCCTATACCGTAACCCCCCCACACCATCACTCCTGCACCCCCCAGTACCCCCACACCTCCCTGTACTCCTACCCCCCCCCCTGCTGACCCCCCTCACTGTCCCCCCCCAGACCCTCATCCTCCCCCCACCCCCATACCATACCCCCCCCATACCTTACCCCCATAACCTCCCCCGCCGCCCCCCCAGCACCCCCAAACACAGCAGCCGCTCTGGTTGTCTCTCTCCTTTAATAGCTGTCCCCGTGGGGGGGGGGGGGGGGGGCCCCAGCACCCCGATTGTCCCTCGCGCCCCCACCCCGCTGCCGGCCCGGGGGCACCCAGGCGGCCCGGCCGCCCCGGCACAGTTTCAGGGGGGCCTGTGGGGAGACGGGTGTAAACATTTTTGGGGGTCCCGGCCCCCCCCTCCCCGGAGTCACCCCGGGGCAGCGAAGCACCATTTCCTCCTGGGGTTGTTTGGTTTGGTTTGGTTTGGTTTGGTTTGGTTTTTTTTTTGAAAATAATAAAATTGGCCAAATTCCCCCCCCAAATATGTTTCGGGGGGGGGGGCTAGGAGGGGCAGGGGGGAGCGGGGGAGCCCCCCCCAGCACCGTGCCGCAGGTCGATGGGGTGGCGGGGGGCTGCGGTGGGCGCCAGCGCCAGCCCCCGCAGGCACCCGGTGATGCCGGAGGTGAACTTGCCGCCCGTCAGGCCACGGGGGTCTGGGGCTCCGCCTGGGGGGACATGGGGGGACACGGGGGGACGTGACACACGGGGGACGTGACACGGGGGTGAGGGGACACCCGCTGGGCTCACCCAGTGTCCCGTCCTGTGCCCACCCCACATCTGTGTCGTGCCCTCCCCCATTTTCCATTATGTGTCCCTGTGTCCCCATCCCGTGTCCCTATCCCATGTCCATCCCCTGTCCTTCCCATGTCCCCATCCCGTGTCCATCCCATGTCCTTCCCGTGTCCCCATCCCGTGTCCATCCCATGTCCCACCCCGTGGCCCAGCCAATGTCCAATCCTCTGTCCCCTCCCATGTCCCACCCCTTACTGTGTCCCCTCCCATGTCCTGGATCCCATCCCATGTCCCATCGTGTAACCCCTCCCATGACCCATCCCATGTCCCACCCTCTGCCCTGTCCCATGTCCTGTGTCCCACTGCATGTCCCATCCCATGTCCCACCCCGTGTCCCGCCATGTGTCCCAGCCCATGTCCAATGCGTGTCCATCCCCTGTCCCACTCCATGTCCCACCATGTGTCCCAGCCCGTGTCCCAACACATGTCCCATCCCCTGTCCATCCCCTGTCCATCCCGTGTCCATCCCATGTCCCATCCTGTGTCCCGCCATGTGTCCCAGCCCATGTCCAACCCGTGTCCATCCCCTGTCCCACCCCATGTCCCACCATGTGTCCCAGCCCATGTCCAACCCGTGTCCATCCCCTGTCCCACTCCATGTCCCGCCATGTGTCCCAGCCCATGTCCAACCCGTGTCCATCCCCTGTCCCACTCCATGTCCCACCATGTGTCCCAGCCCATGTCCCAACCCATGTCCCATCCCCTGTCCATCCCCTGTCCATCCCGTGTCCATCCCATGTCCCACCCCATGTCCCACCATGTGTCCCACCCCATGTCCCATCAAGTTTCCACCCTATGTCCACCCCATGCCTCACCCCATGTCCCACCCTGTGTCCCCTCGTGTCCCCCAGGTGCCACCGTACCCACGTAGACGCTGCCCTGCGTGTTGGCCATGACGTTGGTTCCTGGTGACTCTCCGCTCACCGGCTCCTCCCCGTCCACCTGCAGCCACCCGCGCCGGCCCTCCCTGCACGGCACCCATCAGCACCTGCACCTCGACCCCCACCCTGACCCCCACCCTGACCCCCACCCTGACCCCCACCCACCTTGTCACTGTCACACGGTGCCACTCGCCGTCGTTGATGGGGTCTTCAGAGACGATGGTGGCCTCGCCGCTGCCCAGCTGGTAGCTGCAGGGGTGACGGGGGCTCAGCACAGGGAGCACCCTTGAGTGGCACGGAGCACCCTTGGGTGGCACGGGGCACCCTTGGGTGGCGCCGGGTCCCCCCGCTCACCTGAACACCAGGTGCCCGTCCTTCAAGCCGAGGCCGATGAAGTCTTTGGCTTTGCCACCCTCACTGGGCTCCTGTGGGTGCAGTGGGGCGGTGAGCTGGGTGGGGAGCACCCTGACCCCCACCCTGAGGGGGGTCAGCACCCTGGTCCCCTCCCTGGCCGTGCCCCCGCCCCGCTCACCGCCCCATGCCACAGCAGCAGCCCGTCGGCGCTGCCCGTCCGCAGCTCCAGCTCGATGGTCTCAGGCGCCTCGGGTGGGCTGCAAGGAGAGGGGGGGGCAGCTTGGTGGGTGCAGCACCCCGGGGTGGTGCAGAACCCTGGGAGGGTGCAGTGGCGCGATGGGTGCAGCACCCCGAGAAGGGTGCAATGGCCCAATGGGTGCAGCAAGCCAGGAAGGGTGCAACAGCATGAGGGATGCAGCACCCCGGGGAGGGTGCAGCACCCTGGGAAAGGTGCAGTGCCATTCTGGGTGCAGCACCCCGGGAAGGGTGCTAAGTGGCAGTGGGTGCAATGCTGCGGGAAGGGGTGCAGCACCCTGTGAGGGTGCAGTGCTGTAGGAAGGAAGGGTGCAACGCAGTGGGACGGGTGGGGGGGCACCCCAGGAAGTATGCAACGCTGCAGTGGGTGCAACGCCGTGGCAAGGGCGCGATGGTGTGATGGGTGCAACACTGCTGGAAGGGGTGCAGCACCCTGGGAAGGTGCAACGCCACGATGGGGTGCAACGTGGCGGGAAGGCTGCAATGGGTGCAACGCTGCAATGGGTGCAATGCTGATGGGTGCAACACTGTGATGGGTGCAACGCTGCGATGGGTGCAACACCGATGGGTGCAACACTGTGATGGGTGCAATGCTGCGATGGGTGCAACACCGATGGGTGCAACGCTGATGGGTGCAACACTGTGATGGGTGCAATGCTGCGATGGGTGCAACACCGATGGGTGCAACGCCGATGGGTGCAACACTGTGATGGGTGCAATGCTGCGATGGGTGCAACGCTGATGGGTGCAACACTGTGATGGGTGCAATGCTGCGATGGGTGCAACGCTGATGGGTGCAGCACTGCAGGAAGTGCTGCAACGCCGTGGGAAAGGGTGCGACTCCCCCAGGAAGGTTGCAGCACCCCGCGAAGGGTGCAGTGCCACGGGTGGGGGTGCAGCACCCTGCTCAAGGGTGCCCTGTCCCTGGTGTCACTCACCCACGGGGAAAGAGGTGTCCGGGCAGGGCCAGGTAGGAGCCGTCCCGAAAAGCAGCGCTGAACTGTCCGGGGGCGTCTGCGGGGAGCGGGAGGGGTGTGAGGGGCGGCCACGCCCACGGCGCTGCTTTTGGGGTCAAAAAAGGGGGAAAACGGGCGCAGGGACCTACCGCCTCCCCCGCTGCCTTCCGGCCAGTCTTGCTCCAGCTCTGCCAGCGCCAAACCTGCAGGCGAAGGGGTGTTGGGGACAGGGTGGCACGTGTCCCCAGGTGTCCCCAAGTATCCCTGTGTCCCCAGGTGTCCCCAAGTGTCCCCAGGTGTCCCCAAGTATCCCTAAGTGTCCCCAGGTGTCCCTAAGTGTCCCCAGGTGTCCCCAAGTGTCCCTAAGTGTCCCCAGGTGTCCCCAAGTGTCCCCAGGTGTCCCCAAGTATCCCTAAGTGTCCCCAGGTGTCCCCAAGTGTCCCCCGACTCACTGTGCTGGCAGTAGGGGCCGGTGTAGCCCGGCGGGCAGAGGCAGGTGCTGCCCTTGCAGGTGCCACCGTGCAGGCAGGGGTTGTGGTGCAGGCAGCGGTCCTCCTCCCGCTCGCAGCGCGGCCCTGGGGACACCGAGGGTGACACGGGTGGGCACGAGGGTGGCCCTCGCGTGCCCACGCAGGAGCAAGGCGAGCGCACGCACCCGCTCGCCCGCAGAGCGTGCAAACTGCAGCCGGCGGGCACGCGCCCAGGGCACGCACGCGTGCAGCAGATGCACCCGCTTGCGAACCCCGTGCGCGCGCACCCAGCACCCAGCACGTCCGCAGCCGCAGCGCGCCCACGCGTGCACTGTGCACGCACCCGCGCCACGCGGAGCACACGCCTGCACAGCACGCGCGTGCCCGCACGGGGCACGTGGACGCGCGGCGCGCACACGCCCACACAGACGCACACACACACGCACCGTGCGGCCACGTGCGTGCGCAGGGCACACGCCCCCCCCACCCCACCCCACGCTATGGCGCACACGCCTGCACCGCACGCGCGTGCACGCATGGGCCACGTTGCACGCCCAGCGCTGCACACGCGTGCCCAGCACACCCCGCCCGCTGCGCCCACACGTGCCTGGCGCACGTCTGCCCGGCACGCACGCCCAGCAAACGGCGCACACGTGCAAACACACGCGTGTGAGCCTGCTGCTCCCTGCCCCCCCCCCCCCCCCCCCCCCGCGGGGCTCACCGCCGTAGCCGGGGGG